CGTGAAAACCCCACCAACATCACCACGAAATAGGCTTAAAGACTTTAATTTTTAAAATTTATTTATTTATTTATTTGCTTGTAACGAAATTTTTGAGTTGAAAATTTTTTGACTGGGGTGGAACCCCCCCTCCCTCCCCCGAAAAAAATTCCTGGATCCGCGCCCGTTGTATTTTAAAGAGTTATCGTAGAGAAAACAGTTGGAAATATAAATTTTTTACAAATAAATCCCTTTCATGAGGTCGATGCATAGATATATCGACTTCACAGAAAAACAGATCCACCAAGCACGAAGAATTGACCGTACGAAAGGACTACATTTGTTAAACTTTTTTAAAGAGATTGAAAAACAAAATTTGAAGAAAAAAAGGAACAGAATGTTCTCTCTTTTTAACACATGCAGAGTATAGACATCAAAACTATGTCTGAAAATAATATTTAATTTAAATATTATCATTTTCGTACTTTGTAACGAGCTTGAAGCATGATTTGATACTAACAATTATGATAAAAAAAATAGCATTTAGATTTTTTAATACTTTCCCAGAAGTATTTTTCAGTATAAAGGAAATTACACAGTTACGTTAAAACGGCTTACATACATGTCTATAGTCAAACCTGTTCCCATTATTTTCAAATTTTGTTTTATCAATCTTAAAAAAAAATAATATAACAAATGAAGCTCATCTAAACAGTCAATCCATAGATATATCGACTTCACAGAAAAGCATATTATCCTCGCATTTCGTGCTCGGTCGAGGTCAAGTTTATTGTACTATTGCTCAGTAATGTGCACGCTGGTCCCCAGTTTTCTTTACGATTTTAAGTTATGCTATATTAGTAGATATCTAAAATATACTTCTCATTTTTTATATAACCAATGCCAGGAAAGACATACCGTAAAACATTTAATTTTGTTTCATATTGATACATGAATGTATCGGAAAGGCTAAATATTTGGTGGAAATGATATGTGAGTGGCAATTAATAAATAAAGAAATTTTAAATCTAAAGACGAAAATTTTTTGTTGTTGAAAAAATAGCAAAAATAAAAAATAAAAATAAAAAAATAAATCATTTTCTCTGTCAAACTCAAAATTTAAAGAATGTTAAACGTTTCCTAAAAACTACTTTAACTTACTTTGGAGGAGGCTTAGATGTCTGGCAGGAAACCGATTGATGAGATCCACTATAGTGAACCTCTATTTACACCCAATCCCATATTTTATATACTGCTCTGAATATGAATTAAGTTAACACTCAATCATTAATGACAACATTGCAGAATCATTGTTCCGTTTGTTCATAAATTTATTGAAGAAAAAAAGATCAATCGGATAAATGGGATGGAAAACGGGCATTTATCCACTCTCTACCATCGGCTCATACATTCACCTCTGTCGTTGGCTCGCGTATATCACAAGCTTATCTTTTAAAAAGGATAGGTGAGCTAGCGCTGTAGCTATCATAAACCACAGAATTAGATATCTGAATTATTGGATTAATTTGCTGAATCGATTAAGGGGACGACCATTTGATTCTGAGGAGGGGGGGGGGGGGTCGGGGGGGGGGGGTTCTGGCAAAATCTTATAGATATTTACTAAACAGATGTAAAACTATAAGTTTAATTTGAAATAATCCTTGAAATGTTATGTTTTTTACGTTATGTCAAAAATCTTGACGCGAACCCATTGCAGAGGTGTCTGAGAGAGGAACGAACGACAACTCTGCATAGGAGATTGGCATTTATCTAAAATACATTAATTAATTGGTTAATTATAAATTGAAAATTCATAACCGACTCTCACCATAATTAACACTGTATCTTTTGGATGAACTATGCATTTCTTGATTTATTTGTTGTCAACTGACAAAAATGCCTTTATTAGTCCCCTACCGGTGAAACCGGAGTCGACTATAGGTTTCCTCAGCGTCTGTTCGTCCGTCTGTCTAGCTGTCTGTCCGTCTGTCCCTCCGACTGTCTGTCAGTCTATACCACTTGGTTTTTCACACTTTTTCTTCCTAAATGCTTGCAGATATTGAGCTGATTTTTGGTATATGAGTGTATCTTGATGAGATACAGATCAAGTTTGAATTCCGTTCCGTTTCAATCATTTTTGAGGGAATTACTTCCGTTTTAATTTTTAAAGGTTTTCCGCACTTGTTTTTTCTAAATGCTTATAGATATTCAGCTGATTTTTGTTATGTGAGTCTAGCTTGATGAGTTATAGATCAAGTTTATATTATGTCCCGCTTCAATGATTTTTTGAAGGAATTACGGCATTTTCAATTTTTAATGGGAACCAGATTATACTTGCCAGTAGGGGACTAGTATTGCTAATGCAATACTCTCAGAATGGCTTCTCTTATAAATACTTTTTTTGGATCCATTACAGTGTTGTATTACCATTATACTAGGTGACCGTTAAGGCCCTTGGGCAGCTTGTTAATAATCAGAATCTAAAGTAAGCTAAATTTCCTTCCCAAACGTATTAAACCCAGAAAATTTCTTGACAAGCAAAAAAAAAAAAAAAAAAAAAAAAAAAAAAAAAACCTATTTCGTGGTGATGATGGTTTGCTTCAGTATATACTTTTAATAACTCTGCAAATTCCGGGGGGGGGGGGGTTCCGGACCCCCGACCCCCCCTCCCCTCTTAGATCCGCGCATGCAATGAAAAAAAAAAACTGCCAAAGTTTCTTTTAGTTGTTGTTAAATCTCACAATCTCTTATCTATGACATCTCACAACCTTTCAGCAAAACTGATTAAAGGTTAAAGGAGCAAAAGAAAAAAAATTAAGAAAATATTATAGACAAAAAATTCGGTGTTTTATAGTTGATGTGGAATTTCACTCGTGAGACAGGATGACAGTGTGATAAAGTAGGGATATTTTACAAGAACGCTGTAGGTCCTGACCTTGTTAAAAAATTCCACTGTATTTTGACTTGAAATTAAGAAGTCATCAGACTCTTAAAACACCTTTAAGGTTCATCGATACCAGTGGCGGATCCAGGAATCTTGAAACAGCTGTGAAAAGGGGGGTCCGACCAGTTTGGTGTCGGCGTAGGAGCCCACGGCCACACCAGAACAAAATTGATTCATTAAATCAAGAAGTATGTATATTTTGTACACAAAAGGGGGGTGACGGGCCCCCTGCCCCCTTCTAAATTTGTTTAGATAACACAGTGGAAAATACTCTGATAAGAGAGATAACTCTTAATGACATAAATATCTATCATTCCTTTATAAATTTGAGTTATATGAGTTGAAATGTCTTTATTGTCCAATTTTGCCCCGCAATCTATGCTATAATTGTTTGTATTTTACTTAACAAGACTTTATATGTAATTTATAACTTTCTCTTTTACAATTTGTAGGGAGAGAAAAGTCTTTTTCTTACAAAGAAACAGGCGGATGGACGACGCACACCTTACCATGATGTATTGCATAACTTCTTTAGTAAAACAACAGAGAGAGAGAGAGAGAGAGAGAGAGAGAGAGAGAGAGAGAAACGAGATAAGGATACGAAATACTTTACGTATGAGTTGACTTTTTTTATTTCACATCCGGGGAATTCAATTGGCGGCTATTTTCATTTCCAGACTTTCTGTAACTTGTAGTGGTTTATGGCAGGATGTATAACGTCTTTACCAAACACGATGTATTGTTCCAAAATATATTAAATAAGACCAATCAATTAGCCTATAATTAGGTAAGATTATTGGCTGTTAACAGTTTTTTAATTAGTTTGAATTTCCTCGAACAATCCCGAAATCCCATACCAAGAGATATTGAGTGTTTGCGTGAAAGGCTCTGTAAAGTTACTTAAAACTTCCTGTGACGTTAAGATACGTTGTATATCATAATACTTTCAGGAAATTATAAATGTAGATATTAATAATTCTTTTATAAACTTTCATTGTAGTAAAGGTGTAGTGAGTACTTCTAGAGTAGTATGGAGAAATCTTCTAAATGTTGATTTAGGCATAACATTTTCAGGAAGGGAACAATCGATCAGATTTCAGATCCCTCAGAAAAGAGAACATGAAGATACAGAAGATCGTTTATATGTTTTTTTTTTGTTTTTAAAGAATGATGTTGTCATGGTTTCTAAAAAAAGAATAGTTTCAACTTTCAAAATAGAGGCATTCTTGAATTTTACGGTTACAATGTCTGGACAGTTAGTTTTAGATTTACAACATGCAGAAATTGATGTCATGATCACATTTATTTACAAACGCTGCTGAAATTTCTCAAAAGTGATAGAGTTAGGGTAGTGATGAAGTTAAGGGGTTACCCAATACATGAAGATACATATTTATGTGACTTATTTTATGATTTTGTTAAAGTGTTACAGAGGGAGTACTAAAAATAGAATGTTTGTTTATTTCAATTGTTATAATTTTATTTTAAATAGTCAAATTGGATTGGTTTAAAAACATTTGTTAAAAGTACTGTTAGCCTACCGCGTGCGTAAACCGTACTCTCTGGATAACATTACATATTAGCAACGCTTGACAATGCATGACGGCGGGTAACAGTATAAAAATTGTTAACTGCGCAGAATGTCTGTGCGTACGGTTCACTGCTTCTTGTTTTAAATACATTCAGTATAACAAAAAAATATTACATGTTTATTTTGGGTAACATGTGAAATAGTTTTCGCGGGATAACAATTTCACATGTTACCCTAAAAAACGTAATATTTTTATAATGTTACTTATGTCTGATCTGACAGAGTAAAAGCCAGCTTTATTGATTCCTATGTTTATGAGATGACATTTTTAAAATCTTTGGAAAAGTCTGAAGCTGAGGCAAAATTCTGCAGTGTTATATTATTGTTCTTTATGTCTGCATCTGATTCAAAGAAAGATTGTTGCTTTTCAGACTGAGAGACACATAGTTAAAAAGGAAACAAAATGTTAGAAGTCCAACATGTCCAAGGACACCTTTTCTTCCAGACTGTTTAACCAGTTCATCAGCCTCACAAAAGACTGCTGTCAAGTGTTTATGATAACAGCTTATATTGTGCAGCAAAAGTTGTCTGTAAGCTTTTCAACAAAAAAGTAAAAGATGGAAGAAAGTCATGATGTACAAGAACTATTCTTTACCAACCTACAGCTTCTGGGGTTCAATGTGGAGAGAAAAGAGGCTGAAGTCAGAATACCTTTCAATAAGTAAGTGTTAACAAAATGTACATACAGGGATATAAAACTGGAAAGTAAAGCAGTTAAAGCAGATAATTCTGATGAATGTGCTGTAATCAGTCAGTCAGGCATGGTCCATTTCATTATTAAGAAAATACAGGTCCATCAGGTGTATGGAAGTCTGATGAAAAATGCACAGGTCTGGGCTGCCTACTTTTTCTAGGCCAGTTGAAATCTTCACTTTGTAGTACAAGTGAAATTTGTGTGAACCTTGATTCTAGAGGTTAGCTTACAGCATGTATACATTACAATGAGTACATACATGTACCTGTGAAAAAAAATCTAAAAAAAATTTCTTCTCAAGAAATACACAGTGTTAGTTGTCAAGGTGTTATGGATATACCGGTACATGTATTTGCAATAGACATGTTTTCCTTCAAGTGACTACCAAATATGTTTAAAAATTTGCCTTTTATTCCTAATTATAAAGTCTTCCGATGAACTGAATTTCAAATATAAATACTGATGAAAAAAAATGTCAGTTCAATATTTTAAAAATTTTGACATCTTGAAATGTTTGTTATGAAAAATGTAAATATTGTTATTTTAACCTCTATGGAACACACAATAGGTTATATCCATAAATTGTTGAGTTCCTTATGACTGTAAAATTTTGCAAGGAATTGTTCAGAATTTTGTGGGAGATTCCAAAAAACTTGGTCATGTTTTACTGTACAGGATCTGTTTATTGCCAAATTTCAAAGATTATCTCATGATTTCCTGCATTGTAGTTTGTTGTTTAAAAACTCGGTCTTTATTCTCTTTTCTTTGTAGAAACATGTTTGATTTACCAAATCGCAGAGGGGCAGAGGAGGTGTTGTACTTCTTATTCAGTCGACTGAATCCTGTCATGTGTAAAGAAGAATTTAGGTATTATTGATCTTCAGGCAAAGAAAAGTTCAAATTTTATCTCATTTCCAAACAATCTTGTTGAATAATAGCAAATGAAATATTTTTCTGGAATGATGGTTCCCTTATAAATGAATTTTAACACTGAAAAACTGAATGTATACACTGTGCATTAGGCCAAATAAAAAAATATGTGTGGTGCCGGTTACCTGACCGTCCCTATTTTATACCCCCGACCCTAAACTTTTTTTCGGCAATTTTCATATTTTTTCAAGAATTTTCCCCGATTTCCATCATGGGCTTCAGTATTAGTTTTAGTTTCAGCAATTGTGGCCTCCTTGCAAAACATCATTTTAACAAGCAAGTTTTTAATAGTGTTAAATCCAAAGCAATCTAGCATGAAGGTGTCCCCTACTAATGTTGACTAGTATATTATCACGCCACACTTAAATGGCACTTGCAAATCAGTGATAGGTATTATTTAGAAAAATTAAGAAAATCATTTTGTAAAAAAAAAAAAAATCCCTACCTACCTACCCTAATTTTTTTTGGAGATGTAACCGGAACCACACATATTTTTTGGTTTGGCCTTATTACATTCAATGAGATAAAGTCTTTTATGACAGAGGCTGTTGGCCAATAACAGATAAACAACAAGAGCAGATGTTTAGAAGAGGCTGTAACAACTGGTTGAGCAACATTAACAAAGTACAGCAACATAAATCTGTTTTAAGTGATATCTTTATCTCTTGACTTGTAATTTTGATATATATATCCTGTTATTTTGTTTTTTGATGATAAGAGTGTTATTGATGATTTTTGGTCTTTGTTCTATAGGAGGAGCCAGAGGCCATGTTACCTAGGATTTCTCCCTCCTTGTTTCTGACACCAGGTGGAGTTAAATTCTATCATCTCATCTATCGCTTCTCACGATATGTCATCGTACAGGTCAACGAAAAGGAGAATGGTAGGCCCTTTCACAGATTCAGTGTTATTGTGGTGAAAGAGATGACAGTTGGACTTTTAAACTTTTGCAATTTTGCTGTAAAATTAATCAACACTATGACTCTGTTATTACAGTTGAACTTCGGTATCTCGAACATGGATATCTCTAACACCATGGATATGTCAAAGTGATTTTAAAGTCCCAAGCACTAATTTCTTAAGTATTTTACCCTGGATATCTCGAATCCTTGGATATCTCAAAGTAATTTCTTGGTCCTGTGAAGTTCGAGATAACGAGGTTTGACTGTATTAAAATGAGTTGTTTAAGGATGTAGGTAGGGTGTCTAATATAGAATAACTCTGGTATGCAGTCATCAGCAATGGATATTTCTAAGAGTGCTAATTTTTAGTACATGTCATTCACTCTGATTATCTGTGTTTTTGTTGAAGGAGCAAAAGACAAGGAAAAACACAGGTATCCAACTCTAACCCAGAAGAACAAAGAGCTTGCAAACAATATGGCAGACACCTTGATTAGCTGCGTCATCAGGAAAAGGAACACTTTCCTAAACACAGCACAAGAAATAGTCTCCCTTAACAGACAATGGAAAGAGCAGTCCAAGTAAGATCTGTGATAGATTACAGGTAGACAGTGATGTAAGAAGGGAGAAGAAGAAGGACAGGGAGAATGGAATGATTACTTAATTGATTGGGATATTGAGATTACTTACTGTTATATTTTATGTGATGTAATGTAGGTCAAGTGATCGACTCACCCTTTATACATCAATTGTCTACTTTCATTCATACTTAGAGTATTTTGCAGTACTTGAATTGTAGTGTAGTTTACTTGTGGACAAAGTTTTATTGAAATCAGATCAAACTGTTTTAGAAGTAGCATTGTGAAAAAAATGAAAGAAATTTCTATTCTTAGAAACTATTGCAACACCACTTCTCAAATAAAAGACATTTACATTAAATTGATTTGAAGCAGAGATTCCCTTAACTCAAGGATCACAATGAATATGTTTTATTATAAATAAGTGGTGTGGATTTCACTTTGATTGTATTTAATTTGCTAAAAAAATGCTTTTTGAATTTTAATAAAACTTTTAATTTATTGTAAACTACAGTGACATGGTGAAGGAATATAGAAAGCTGAACAAAGAAATACGAGACACAGAATTAAAGATCCGAGACGAGATTCACAAGTCATCACAGATGAGTGCTGCTAGGGGTAGGTCAGTATCAAGGGTAAATTGACATGAGATTCAGAAATTGTTAGAGATGGCTGATGTAAGAGGCCAGACAGAAGAAAATCAAATGATGTCAGCTGATTGGACCAGTTCAGAGTTCTTAAGATACACTGTACATTAACTGTCTGTTAGTCTAGTCATATAATTTTTGAACTCTGCCAGTTTTGTTTAATCTGCTGATTATTTTGTAGCCCTCTTGCCAAGAAACAAAGATCAAAATCATATGAGCCAGACTTTGATCCCAAATCAACAAAGAGGTCACAGAAGGTCAATGAGGTAGGGGGAATAACTCTTATGTAGAACTCCTTTCAAAACCTATTGAATTAAGATTCAAGATTGAAACTTGATGATGAAGGGGCATGTTCTTATTCGTATACAGAAGAAGCCACAGTGCTTTTCTTTTTCCTGTCTTTCTTGTTTTGTGTAGGTGAGAGGACTGTGGAAACAGTTGGATGGATTTCTTGTCAGTGAGGCCTCGGAGAGGGAGGTGATAGAGTCAGTAGTGGACACCTCCCTAACTAAATACAGGATAGACTCTGCCAACATCTCCATCAAAGTCCCAGATCTATTGCTTCGAGAGTGTGAGAAGGAAATTAGGCGGGTTAGAATCTGAATTGTTTGATATGCTACTCTTGTACATGTATACTAGGATTATTTATCAGCCTGTTACTCCATATTATGATGGAGGACGTCCTACAAGTCTGTATGGCTGGTTCATTTCTTTATTCATCTACTTGTTTGAGGTCATTTGGATGTTGTATACTGATTACAGATCTTGACCAAATATTCTCTTTCGGATATCAAAAATTTAAAGTATTAAATCAGATAAGATGTTTAAGTATTAAAGCTTATGTTTGAATAATTTTCCTGAAGGTACATGTATTACAGGTAAATGCGATTTACACTTTTGGTGGTAAAGCATTTTTTATCACAACACTTAGATAAGTTGGATATTTACATAAATTACAGAGACATGTAGACAACACCTTTCACCATGGGAAGTTAAACCTGATCAGTCTTCTACAACTGTGGAACCTCTGTCTACATTTGATACAAGACCGATTTCAAGACAGTAAGACAGTTTTGTTACTGTAGTGAATAACCTGTTATAAATAAATCCCCGTCTTTCTATTTATATCCACATATAAACAATCTACGTTACACCCAAAGTTTATTCCAAAATTCTGTATACTTCCCCGAGATATGCTGAAATCAATTTTCCAAAATTGACCAATATTTTTTTAAACTCAAAATTAGCTATATTCTATGATAAAATCATTTGTGTTCTTCTGTGTACAACCATATGGGTGGTTCCATTTAATAACAATATTTCAAAAATGGTTCCTTCAGCCTAGCAAATTGTTTAGTCACAGTTGTAATTGTTATTTTTTATCTTAAAAAACATATACATGTACGTATGAGTGTTTTTTCTTTGCTTTTATGTACTATATGTGTTATTCACAAAATGTTTTCACCATGGCAAGTGAAATCTGTTGATGGTGACCAGAAATTCTGAAATGGTGACCCAAAAATTTTTTGGTCGCTATTTAGCAACCTGATAGCGAGTATTACTTGGAGCACTGAAACAACATGGCTGTACAGCTGTTGAAGCAGACATTTTGTAATGTTTTTTTCTTGAAAGGAATTATTACAGACTTAACCGTACCAACTGGAGTAAAAAAAAATCAACTTTAAAATGTTAATAGATTGTGAAAATACTATGCAACTTTTCCCTGCAGTCCGAACACCTGTATACTTGTGAATGACTAGGGCCCAAGCTAATTTCAAGTTAAAAAAAAAGTCAATTTTGGAAATGATTTCAGCATTTCTCTGGAATTATACAGAATTTTGAAATGAACTTTGGTAGTAACGTAGATTGTTTTTTATGTGAATAGATATGAATAGAAAGCAAAATTTTAGATCATTTGATTTAAAAGTATTTCATTGGCAAAACTGGGTACCTCATGTAAGGAGTTCCTTATTTTTATATTTATTTTAAAGTCATCTAAAGGCCGTTGATTTATATTAATTGAAAAAATGTCAAAGGGAGATGAATCAAAACCTTTCCTCTCTAGAAATTTCAGTGTATTGATGATTGATGAAAGTTTCAGTTATTAATGATTGTAAAAAAAATTTCATTGCAAATAATTGATGAAACAAATTAGTCCATTCACATAAGAGGCTGTTAGTTCTTTTCAAGCAATGTCATCTGATATAAATATTTCAGCACATGAACTGCTTTCATTTATTTTGTAAGCTGGTGTACCAGATTTCACCACAGACATTGAAAATATAACCACACTGGCCCACAAAAATCACAGCTTACTTGTGGCTAGTCAAGATCTACAGAGGGAGATTGAGGGGGTTTTACCAGAACTGAAGCGGTCAGTGGACCAGCTGCGGTCAGAGGTTGAACAGGGACTGACCACGACCCCCACACAACTCAGGACTTCAGTATGTTATTAGAAAGTAATTACCATGCTGTATGACATACAGTATATATGGATAGAATTTCTCATGTTGTAATTCACTAAAGTGCAAATTGTTTTCTCTTGTTCTAGTAATTTTTGTTCGAAATACATGTATGATAACTAACTAACTAACAAAATTCAGAAAAAAGAAATTCCCTGGGATTTTATGCACTTGTATATAAATTGTAATAAATTTTGTTTGACTCTTTCCTCATATCAGTGTACTTTTACTTTAATATGCTTTAATACATGTCCACACTAAAACTGAGACAAAATAATATTTAAAAAAATGGGTTCTCAGCCATCACTATCTCTAATGTGTCAGAATTGTCCAATTTAAAAACATGCCTCCACAGGTATGAAGATGAGAATGTGGAAACACTTCCAACTTTTCGTACAACCATAAAACCAACTTCCCCACTCCGTTTATCCCTACTGTGGTTAGCTGGAGCATATTTAATATTGGAGAAGTCCTTTCATTGAATACCTGTAACAATGGCATTTTCCATGCTTTTTTTTTTTTTTTTAACATGTATGTTAAAAAGTACAAAATGCTGCCTGCCTGATATGATTTACTCAAAAGTGGAGTCGAGAACCAATTTTTTTAATGGTTTAATTGTGACTAGATACATGTACTTTCACCATTTATATTGCATGCTTTGTTCTTCACCACTTTTCTCAAATCTGACAATACTTGTAGAGTCAAAGCTAGAAGGAAAGTCAAGTGACAAAAATCCATTTATTATTACAGCTCTGCCAGTGCAGTGTAGTAGCCAATATGTCTGTCTACCTAAATCTATACACATTTACACTGTGTTGAAAATTGAGTACCCTTCAACCGGTATACCTTTATATTTTCATAGCCAGAAAATTATTGGAAAAGGTTACATAGATTTTGGCATCGAAAAATCAAAGACAAGGTCAAAAGATTCAAGATTATTAATAAAAACATTCTTTTTTACTATCTTTACAAATTACATGTATGTTGTACATGTAATATTAAAACATGATAGAGTTAAAATAGGACAGATATGTTATCAATTCATTTTCAGATTCAAGTTTTGAGAATAAATTTTATAGAAATATATGTCGAATATGTAGTATTTTACATTTATCATCATGATTTTTAAGAAAAAAAAAATTCTTGGGCACTACCACATTAGGTCAATACGTTTGATTTCCATTAGTGAACTCTTCAAAATTAGAAGCGCGTTTGGTCGTCTGACTGGGACAGCATGGCGTTGCGGATAATACAAAACATGTCAACCTCAATCCAATTTTAAATGTTAAATGTATTTGTCATTCCAATTAAAGAATAGACGAACTAAAAGACATATGTAAGAGAGCGAGAACCCTAAATTTATCATCCATTAATAAAAAATACGACATTTCTGAGGCATGTGTATTATATTTAAACGTACCATACGATAAATAGATACATACGATCAACAACAGATATAAATTGATATCGTTGTCATTTCTACTCTTAATGTATATAAAGTCCACAACAATAAAATTTTTCATCTGCATTTTGTTAGGATTTGTTCATCGACATTCAACATATTGTTTACATGTTTATGTTACGTTTGTCCCAGAAATCCCGCAAGATTTGTACATTTTCCCACTTTTTCACAAAAGAGCGCACTAAGAAGTTTAACTCTTCAATAGTGGAAATAGAACGTATTTTATAAAACTTTCTATTTTTAATTTTTCATTGAAGAAGAGAAAAATGAGTCATTCTCCTTTTCACAGCCACATATTTAATAATTTTTTTTTAATGAAAATGTTTGAATAACATTATTTAAGTTTTTTTTTATATCAAGTAATGTAAGCGTTTAAAAAAAGTAAGATTCAGTTTGTATCAACATTTGATGACAAGAAAAAGGAGAATCTCTTGATTCCAAAAAAAGTCTTTATTTTGAAATTTTTGGCACAAGAAACTATTTTGCCTTATGATTATTATGGGCATGACAATCATTTGCCTTTGCATTATGTATGGAGGAATGCTCACATTATGTTATAGATCCTCTACTGTGCATACCATATATACTCGCCTATAAGTCGGTTTTACGGGAGTTAAATTTTGGTCCAAAACTTTGGGTCCGACTTGCATGTATAGGCAAGTCATAAAAAGACTGGTATTTTTCTGGACAACAAAAGGTAGTATTTTATAAACAATCCCGCCGATTATCGTTAAACAACGTCTTTATATATTAAATCATTTATGTATTCTAAGATTATTCATAAAGTACAATATTTATAAATTTTAATAATTTAATTTTGTTTGTATTCTAGCCTCTGATTAGTTAATATCCAAAAAGGAACACAAATTATTTCTGTATAACCTGGTTTGGTATGGGGACACACCCCCCTGACAACCAGCTGAATCGTCTGTATCCATGCAATCCTCTCATTTCCAGTCCTCGGGATTCATGGAAAATTCCAGATTTAATAAATGTACCTTTAACTTCAAACAGTAACTTGGATCTTACCAAATGTAAACAAAACAACATGGCTGCTAGGACTATGTATCAGTTTTTACCTCCCCTCGCTTCCCATCACTTCCGTTACTAGGGTTGTATTATTGAGCGGCAAATTTGAACTAATAAAAAGCAACGAAATTTTACACCCACAGTTGTTTAATGATTTTAGAATTAAATTATAAGGAATGACTCTAATTCTTGGCCAAATTATTCGAGTATAACCTGGTTTGGGTCAGTTTACGCTGTTTTATAATCCGCTTCGCGGATTATAAAGCGTAAACTGACCCAAACCAGGTTATACTCGAATAATTTGGCCAAGAATTAGAGTCATTCCTAAAATAGTTTTATTTTTATCTCAAGTGTGCGTTACTTTATTTTTTAATGATTTAAAATTAACTAATGACGTCATTTTTTATAAATATTTATTGAAACCAGGTTAAAACATCAGAGCATTAATTTGAAATTGAGAACCAATTCTTGCAAAAAGTTGTACCGACTTATAAGCGGGTCAATGGCAAATCCCTCCAAAATAACTGCAAAAAATACAACCGACTTATAGGCGGACTGACTTATATGCGAGTATATACGGTACTTTAAATATAGGAGCTTGTCTTAGAAACATTTATGAAATGCATGAACTCTTTCTTGGTAGAGTGGTGTGATTATTTCTTTGATTTTTTTTGTGTAAATCTATCTTATATATGCTTATTTTAAAGTGTGTACATGTATATCAAGACATTGGTCTAATTAACTGGTTTATAATATTTATTTAAATTTTTTAGACTATTTTAAAATTGAACAACACATTAACTTAGCACATAGCTCAGTGCAAAAAATTTAATTTGAATGTCAAATCAGTTGGTTATTGTTTCCTGACTCGTAGATAAAGTATTTTTTGTGATTTTCGACACTGGAGAGTTTTCTTGTAGGCAGTAGGACTAGGACTAATGGAGCCGACTCCTGAGGTATCATTTTCACCTGCCTCAAGTGTACAGGGGAGGCAACCAACAGAAACCTCTGTAACACTCACGCCACATGAAAGTAAGTACAGAAAGGACTTAGAAACCAAAATAAAAACCCTTATTGTGTCACAATTAATCATAACTACTCAGCCATTTCTGTAACAGCATCAGAAAGGGATGAGTGTGATCCGATTGGCCTCACAATGTTATCTCAATTTTACCTGCCCCTGAGTGCAGAAGAGTTGTTGTAAAAAGTAAATACTCAAAATTATGGGTATGTTAGAGTGTCTTTTATGTTTAGCTCTCCTAACCCTAAGGTTCAAGTGAGCTTTTCTGATCGAAATTTGTCCAATGTCTGTTGTCTTGGTAAACTTTTCACATTTTCATCTATAGCTACTCCTCTAGAACCACTGGGCAAATTTCAACCAAACTTGGCACAAAGTATCCTTGCAGTGCTCCAAGTTGCGACTAAAATGGTTGCATTTGCCACCAAAAAAGTTAATTTTGCAAGGAGTAATAAAAACTAACTCGTATTTTTTTGACTGAGAAAAATTTGGGCTGGCAATTGTCCATTTTTGATTTGGATCAAGATTACTTTTTCCAAGATTCTCTACCAAGAAAATGTTTGAAGACATTGCTAAAACTTTTGTAAAGTGTGGCAGATACTGAGATTATGTAATGTTGTGACAGCATGCTGTATAGAACAGCTGCTAAATATTTAAGAATTTTTAAAACCCAACCTTGTTAATGGAGCATTTGGTCAATATTGCTTACGGGTGAATTAAAAAAAAATGACCACCAAACCGAATTTTTTTGGCAAAATTCAACTACTTCTAACATATTTTTCACTTATATCATCATATTGCAAATGCATTCTAGTTTAAAATCCTGAAGTGGCAATAGAATAGACAATTGGATTAAAAAGTTTCAGAATTTTTATTAGTAAAATTTCTTTTGAAAAAAGAAAATATCATTACACCTCAAAAGACTTTCTAAAATACATAATCACAAGAAATTATAGTCTTTTATGCTTCAAAATGGTAAAAGGGGTATAAATGATTGAATCTAGACCTTGAATGAGTATCTTCTCTTATACATGTGACAAAGAATTGGCATTTTGATTGTTATTTTACATTATTTTTTCAATTCTGGTTTGAAAAGTTTTAATATGAAAAAAATATGAAGCAATAAAATTCCCCAAAATTCACTTTTTTGTCCGTTCAAGTCAATTCTTTAAATCTAAGCCAAAAAAGAATTGTTATATATGAGTTCTCTTATGAAAAATACTAGATTTTGAAGTGACCTTATGTTACATTATTGTGTTGCACTCCTGACATCGATATGTATTTTATTTAACATTGTTTTAAAAATTATAACACACAATAACCCATTCTTACTTTGTAAATCAATTTGTCGTGTTGATATTTTTCATCGTTGACAGCAGGTTTTTCATATTTTGAAGACCTTAAAACATGATTATTTGCAAAGTGTAATACATATATATTGTATTTAAAATATACGTGAAATGATGAAAACTATTCCCTGAATTGACTGTAAAATTTCTGTAATTTGTTGATAGACATAGTGTTTTGAACATCAAATAGTATCAAGCATTTTTTTTCAACTTAATTTTTAGTAAAGATAGTTAAAAAGCATCGGTAGTTATGAAGCGGTTTTGTTGCACTCCTGACTGCGGTAAAGTTTAAAATTAAAACCATAGAACACAAAAATTCATAAAGTGTTGCCAACATCAAGTGGTAATGAAATTGTGCAATACTTATAGTCCAATACTTCATAATTAAAACAGATGAAAGTATTTAAAATTCGCATTTTATCTGGAATTATACCCTATTTTATGCCAAAAAACTAGCTTAAATGTATATTTAGAAGATAAAATATATCTTAAAGCATATTTTCCTTTAGAAGACAAACACAGAAACCCACCAGAAAAATTCTACTCATCATTTTTTCTTTATTTTTATTCTTATTGGATGATTTATAATTCTAACATATTTGTTGCACTCCTGACCAAAAGCACTGGGGCCTTTAAAGTAGAACTGTGAAGTGAAAATTACATAAGAAATTGTTCTGTTGTTTCAGTGAAGTTGAGGAGGAATTGCTCGAATTTTATGACAATGTTTTAGTGTGTTTCTTTTTAACATTCATTAAAAAAATCACAAAAAAGATAAAAACACATCTGAATCGATAAAAATTGAAAAAGGAAGGATTTTAATAATAAAACTGTCAATAATTTGGCATTAAATTATACAAAAAGATCATTATTAATTAATGAATACTTCTAAGCATGAATAGAAGTCTTTTCGTCACACAACTTGAATCTTTAAAAAAATGTGTTGCACTCCTGACCATAGAAATGTGGATCTGAAGCACAGACAGATCCTGTAATTGATAAATCTATTTGGTAAAAATGTTCTTTGTGTCTTTATTTACCAAAATAAAAATCAGAAAATCATATAATGATAATAGTTTTTTCATGCTTGGGAGCAAAACATCAAATGTTGCACTCCTGACATTTTTGGGTATGCACATAAACTTGACTCTCATTAATGCTGCTTGTGATTTATATAACATTTTTAAGTTTTAAAATGTATATCAGTTATTATTTTACACTTCCAAAATTCTTTTTCTATCAGAATTTTACAATTGATGTTTTTTTGGCAACACTACTTTTTAGCTCACCTCGACGAAGTCGAGATGAGCTTATGCTATACCCCCGGCGTTGGCGTCGGCGTCGGCGTTAGCGTCAGCGTCCCGGTTAAAGCTTTAGGAGCAAGTCCCATTCCCAAGTTACTATAAGCCCTACCTGGACCAAACTTGCATGGATGATGCATCTAGAATGGACACTGCCACACTTGCTTCAGATGCTGGATCTGACCTAGATTTTCCAGATGAGTGACCAGGTTAAAGTTTTTGGAGCAAGTCCATTCCCAAGGAACTATACGCCCCACCTGAACCAAACTTGTATGGATGATGCATCTAGGGATGGACACTACCACACTTGCTTCGGATGCTGGATCTGACCTAGATTTTCCAGATGAGTGACCAGGTTAAAGTTTTTGGAGCAGATCCATTCCCAAGTAACTATATGCCCTACCCGGACCAAACTTGCATGGATGATGCATCTAGGGATGGACACTACCACACTTGCTTCGGATGCTGAATCTAATCTAGATTTTCCAGATGAGTGACCAGGTTAAAGTTTTTGGAGCAGGTCCATTCCCAAGTAACTATACGCCCTACCTGAACCAAACGTGCATGGATGATGCATATAGGGATGGACACTACCACACTTGCTTCGGATGCTGGATCTGACCTAGATTTTTCCAGATGAGTGACCAGGTTAAAGTTTTTTGAGCAGATCCATTCCCAAGTAACTATAAGCCCTACCTGGACCAAACTTGCATGGATGATGCATCTAGGGATGGACACTACCACACTTGCTTCAGATGCTGAATCTAACCTAGATTTTCCAGATGAGTGACCAGGTTAAAGGTTTTGGAGCAGGTCCATTCCCAAGTAACTATACGCCCTACCTGAACCAAACTTGCATGGATGATGCATCTAGGGATGAACACTACACACTTGCTTCGGATGCTGAATCTGACCTAGATTTTCCAGATGAGTGACCAGGTTAAAGTTTTTGGAGCAGATCCATTCCCAAGTAACTATATGCCCTACCTGGACCAAACTTGCATGGATGATGCATATAGGGATGGACACTACCACACTTGCTTCGGATGCTGAATCTAATCTAGATTTTCCAGATGAGTGACCAGGTTAAAGTTTTTGGAGCAGATCCATTCCCAAGTAACTATACGCCCTACCTGAACCAAACGTGCATGGATGATGCATATAGGGATGGACACTACCACACTTGCTTCGGATGCTGGATCTGACCTAGATTTTTCCAGATGAGTGACCAGGTTAAAGTTTTTGGAGCAGATCCATTCCCAAGTAACTATAAGCCCTACCTGGACCAAACTTGCATGGATGATGCATCTAGGGATGGACACTACCACACTTGCTTCAGATGCTGAATCTAACCTAGATTTTCCAGATGAGTGACCAGGTTAAAGGTTTTGGAGCAGGTCCATTCCCAAGTAACTATACGCCCTACCTGAACCAAACTTGCATGGATGATGCATCTAGGGATGGACACTACCACACTTGCTTCGGATGCTGAATCTGACCTAGATTTTCCAGATGAGTGACCAGGTTAAAGTTTTTGGAGCAGATCCTTTCCCAAGTAACTATAAGCCCTACCTGAACCAAACTTGCATGGATGATGCATATAGGGATGGACACTACCACACTTGCTTCGAAAGCTGGATCTGACCTAGATTTTCCAGATGAGTGACCAGGTTAAAGTTTTTGGAGCAGGTCCATTCCCAAGTAACTATAAGCCCTACCTGGACCAAACTTGCATGGATGATGCATCTAGGGATGAACACTACACACTTGCTTCGGATGCTGAATCTGACCTAGATTTTCCAGATGAGTGACCAGGTTAAAGTTTTTTGAGCAGATCTATTTCCAAGTAATTATAAGTCCTTCTTAAACCAAAATTGTATAGATATTGATCTTGGGATGTACACTAACTAGAAAAAATATGATGTGAGATTTGCCTTACTTATAGATAACCTTCGTCGAGGTGAGCTTCGTAATCTTTGATTACCTATGTTTTTCTGTTGCACTCCTGACATGGTATAACATTTTTTTAAACATCAGCCATGACCACAACCTGATTAAACAAAAGTTATGACAGTCCACATTTAAAGCTCAATACTTTGAATATTATCAGGAAAGTCTTTATTTTTAACATGAAGCATTATTTTGTATTTCACAGATCTCCAAAAAATATTGAAATTTCAAAATGTCACAAAAAGGTGTTGCACTCCTGACAATTTTAGCATCATTTTTGGGCATAACTTTTTTGTTAATTGAGATATCAACGAGATATTTGGCAGGTATTTAGACACTATCTAAAGACATATGCTGAAACATAGAAATCTATTTTCATTGCCTGTATTTTTAGTGTGGGTTGATAAATATGCGTTTGTCATTTTTTTTTAATTCGCCCTTACGTATCATCATGTTTTGGCAATATTAACTGCAGTGTTTAATAGGTTAGCTACATAGTATTAAAGTAAACAGCTGACAAAGTCCTATCTCAGAGTTTCCACATGATACACATATCTGTCAAACTTGTAGCAATTCCATTGGATTTAACTTTAATTCTAGGATAAAATCACTCGTGTTCTGTGTACAACTTTGTAATAACAATATTTCCTAAGTGGTTCCTTCAGCCTAGCAAATTGTTTAGTCACAGTAATAAGTAATCTTTGATATAAAAAAGACATTATACATGTACATATTTATGAGTGTTTGTTCTTTGCTATTATAATATACTAAATGTGATATTCACAAAATGTTTTCACCTTGGCGAGTGAAAATTCTTTTGATGGCAGCCAGAAATTCTGAAATGGCAACAAAAAAAATATTTGGGTCGCCATTTAGCTGATAGAAAGTTTGACTTGGAGACTGCCTTGGGTGAATGGGATTCAAGTTAGTTCAGATGAAAAGCCACTCCCTCCTCCTAGGGGAGATAATTAAGGAAGAGTGAAAATTTGGTGGTATCTTTTAAAAATCTTCTTTTCAAGAACCACTGAGCCAAAAAAAATGAAACTTATGTGAAACCTTCTTTACATGTACATGTAGTGTAGATTTAAATTTGTTCAAACATGACCCTCGGGGGGTAAGGTGGGGCTACAATGGGGGATCAAAGTTTGACATCTTCTCAAGAACAGCAAAGCCATGTTTAGTCATATTTATATGGAAGCATCCTCAGGTAGAGTAGATTCAAGTTTATTCAAATCATGATCCCCGGGGGTATGATGGGGCCACAATGGGGGATCAGAGTTTTACATAAGAATTCAGGTAACTCTCGATACATCGAAGTCTGTGGGACCGAGGGAAAACTTAAAGAGATCAAGAGTTTGGAAGTTTCTGGGTTGGTTGACAGGTTTTAAAAATAGTCTTACTGGATGTAATGATATTCATTTATTTTCATTTATTTCAAGTGCTAATCTTATGTACATATTTTATTAAAACAACAATACTTCTTTGCATTTTATTTTGAATATTTTTTAAACTGAATAAAGCAAAAATTTTATATCATCATAATATTTATTATACCCCACACAACAAGTTGCGTGAGGTATAATGTTTTTGACCCGTCCGTCAGTCAGTCTGTCAGTCCTGTTTTTTTGTCAGCGCAACTCCTCATAAACCGCTGCACAGAATTTCGTCAAACTTTGCAGATATTTAGGACACAGTGTGTAGATATGCTTATTACCAGGAAATTCCAATTCCTTTATTTTTTCTGGGAATTTCAGCACTTTTCAACTTAGATTTTTGGCCATATCTTGAATATAGAGATGAACAGTCTGTCAGCGGAACTCCTCTTAAAACGCTGCACAGAATTTGATCAAACTTTGCAGATATTTAGGACACAATGTGTAGATGTGCATATTACCAGGAAATTCTGATTCCTTTATTTTTTCTGGGAATTTCGGCACTTTTCAATTTAGATTTTTGGCCATATCTTGAATATAGAGATGAACAGTTTGTCAGCGCAACTCCTCTTAAACCGCCGCACAGAATTTCGTCAAACTTTGCAGATATTTAGGACACAGTCATGAGTGTGTAGATGTGCATATTACCAGGAAATTCCGATTCCATTATTTTTGCCTTAAGAGTTTTGCCTATTATTGAAGAAACTTTCCAGCTAGGTAATAAGGAAATCCACTGGCATCAGCTTTTGTAATGAAATTTTATGCGAAATATTTTATGACCTAAGAAGACCCCTATTGATTTTGAGATCAAAATATTAATGATCGAACACACACACAATCTTGGATAGTTCTCACCCCCCCCCCCCCCCCCCCCCCACACACACACACACACCCCACCCCCCAAATTGGTGCTTTGCCTTAAAAAATTTCATAAGTACAGTATATAAACAAATTCATATGACTATATCATAATTTTGTTTCCATCAATTATTTAAATGTGTAAATTGTCATGTGTTGGACATGGACTTACACTCATTAACAAATCGAAATCACTGAGAAATTTAAATAACAGTTTGTCAGCATAACTCCTGCACTGAATTTCCTGGAACTTTGTAGGTATTTCAGACATAATGTATAGATTTGTAAATTACCAAGAAATTTTGATTCCATTATTTATATAGAAACTTCAGCCCAATTAAATTTGTAACGTACTAAGATTTGAATGTCCTTATATGCAAGAAGATTTGATGTGATGATTTTTTGCAAGTAATGCCCCTTTTTGAATTATACTGTGTATTTAAAATGCACTGTGCCATTCATTACATGTTGCATTGTCGAGTTTTGCGGGAGCGTGTGGGTATGTGAGCTTGCTCACTTTTTCTTTCATTTATTCTATGTAAGGCAAACATCAAACTATGCATTTGCTACATGAAAACGACCTTTCATAGTGTTGTGGCATAGACTTTTTAAACATGTTTTATAATACCAAAAATCGAACACAGTCCTGTAAGTATTTGTTCAGCAATAGTCGTCATATTGATATCGTGCTGTTATACATTGTTTCTTTATTTTTATTGTTCATATAATATGACTAAAAATTAGTGTCTCGCTTCATAATCAATTTCCACTTTTCAATCTAGCAGGCAGATTATTTGCATGATTATGATGATCCATTAAAGTTCTCTACAACAATTGTATCAGTCATGATCCTTAAATCCAACCCATGGACAGGGCCAGACTGGTCACAACACTGAAATCTTAACTCCAGGACATCTAGTATTCAGAGGGTTGTCCTTATTATAATGAATCAACAAAATGGCGAAATTCCTGACCCCTGGGTCCATTGTTCAGGTCCTTTGATGAGACTACACATGTATGGTTTTATACAAAAATTTATCCCTTTGAAAATCTTCTTTACTCCTGAACATTTAGAATTCGAAGTGTTGTCATCCTTACAATTTGCAACAAGCCCTTTACAGAAATTATGAAATTTATGTCCTCTAGGATGGAAATAAATGTGTCATATATTGGAAATGTATATTTTTCAAAGTCTCTTTTACTACTGATATTTCAGATGCAACCCCTGAAGCAGTAGCCAGAATCTCTGAGGACATTTCTGTTAGAGTGAATCGAATCAAACTGTTTACTGATAGCCCCAGGATTTCTCAGTCTGAAAAGCCTGCTAGGTAAGTCTTATCTAACAGAGAACACAATGAATGAAACCAAATTAACATTTATTAAAATATATGGGTAGTGATTTATATTGCCTTATTAGGGTTATTTTTGCAATGATCCAATTTTCTCTTTCTTTGCAAGCATTTTTAGATCGCAAGAAATGAAACTCTCATAAATTTCTTAGTGATTGTGTGCCATATAGACTGCATAGATAACTATAAAACCATTAGGACATTGGCAAAAATAGGATTACACCAATAAAAAATAACTGTGTTTTTACTTATTTTTTGCAAAAATTGTGATTCACATGAAAAAAAATCTTTATATGGTAGATTTAAAATTAAAAAAATAAATTAAGACCACTGTACATGTAGTGATTACTTATTAACTGAATTCAGAATTTTAGGGCATGAGAAAATTGTACCTTAGTGTTAGTAGGGTAGAGTCATAGTTGACCACAGGTCAAACACTCTCACTGTCTCATATACCTCTTGATAAACATTAAATGGTAGGCAATTCTTTGTTATCTGTCTTCCTTTTTATCCATCTGATTATTTGGAGTTACCTTTTCTAACTCAAACTCTTCTTTCCAATAGTTCTAGATGCTTGGAAATTTGAATATGTGGTCTTTTTATCACTATAATTTCTATCGTAAATGAATTATCAGAGTTGTTTCAAAGCCTCAACCATTTACCTAATAAGGTAATTGATACTTTAAAAGACAGATTTATATCAATCAATACCGGTTTTTCTAAAACCTGTTTTTATATGGTAAAAGATATGCGTAATTGGCACAAAAATCAACCAAAGGTACTTGAGAACACCTAAAATGATTGCTTCATTTAGTGTGCAACTCCAGAAACAGCTATAAAAATACAACAAAACATGAGAAAATAAAAGTTTTAAATGTTGAGAAAAATTTTTTGGATATTATTCAATGATTCAGACTGCAATTAACTTACATTACATTTACTTTCAAAGGAAAGTGCATGAATATCAAATTTTGAATTTCATGTCATTTTTTTTTGGCATTGAAATATAAAATCTATTCTTAAAACTTTTTACTAAAATCTATATTAGATCTTAAAATATGCAATATATGCTATAAACTGTAAAATAAATCTCAATAGTAAATAGTTTACATAGAGTACAAATTACTTCTACATTACATTGTACAGTTCTAATCAGATAAAGGTTAGGCCTATAATTAAAAACCTAAACCCTGTCAGAATACATAACCAAGGGGGAATATGATAAGATGTGGCCATTTTCCATGACAGAGAGAAGACATACAAAGAATCAACAATGTTGCTGTTAATTTAATACAAAAATGTTCATTGAAAGCCTCCATCCTTCCCAATCCCATCCCCCACCCTCCAATATAATAGGATTTTGGAGTTTGGACAATGTACTATTTATTTTTCTTTTTCTGCATGTCAAAAAATTTTTTGTCCCCTTTCAAAAACAGTGTTACATGCCTGTTCCAGGAAAATGATGTGAATGGCCAAAGGACCTGTTGAGATCAAAAAGAAAATCTATACCACAACAGAGGATTAATATTGTAATTAAATGTGAAAACATAAAGTTAGAAAGTGTTGAACTCATTTGTATGGCCTTCCTTATGATATTAGAATTTTCTGAATAAATAGATATTACGCATTTTATTACCCTCTTTGCAATATTGTAGGTAGTTTTATGCTTTTGGAACCAAAAATATCATTATGTTCACATTTGTTATATGGTGAAATGGTTTAGATTGGAAGGGGGAAAAAAATGTACCATAGTCTTGGGGGTATTGACAAAGAACAGAAATTTGATGTTGAACAGATTTCAATTGCTCATTCAGTTTGCAAAGTTGACAACACAGTAAAATAAGGCTTCAGGTGTCTGTGGATTCTTGTTAGGCATAAAACATTGAGTGGTCAACATTGTCAGTGAATGTAAATAGACGTTTGACTATTTTGTGCAGTGTCAAAATATCAATTAACTGAGATAAGTACATGTTCAATGATTCCAAGCTATCTCGTTAAACTAATCTGAATTTTGTTTCACTACTACTCCAGCTCTACGAAGGTTCCTAGAAAACTTGCCATGACCCAAAAAAGTAGCACTACACGACATTTGGACAGAACAAAACCCAGAGTGGTGGATGTCAGGGGTCAGTTACAGTCCACTCCTACCAAAGCCAGGAGGGATCAGCCAGTTAATGCTCATATAGGTAATATTATGTTACAAGCATATTGTACAAGTATTACTTGAAATTGCATTTGGGTCCATGGTTTTGTATGGACTGTGAAAAATTTAGGTATCTTTAATGTTATGGATTCTATGCTGGCCTTAAATCTAACATGGCATGTACATGATGGTGCACCTACATGGTGTAACAAGGAGCATATCTTTTTGTATTAAAATAAATGAAGAAATAATTCACATTGATTTCATTATGGTACGTGAAAATTTTGTTAATTTTTTCTAAAACTTATAGTACTTCTTGAGCATTATACAGGTGTATTATCTGTTCACTTAAAACCCCATCTTGATTCGTATAAAGAAAAATGTAAATAAGGAAAGCTCTAAGCTTGAATCATGGACAAGTCATATCTAGGACAAAAAAAATCTCTCAGGGATATTAAAATCTGTACAATCTCTCTACCTCTGATTTGATTGTTGAAATTTATCTGCTTGTTAATTAAGTTAAAGATATAGCACAAGTAAAATGTGTTCTCTCCGACTCTCTCTTATCTAATTCTGGTCCACACACTTCACACATTTTGCTGTAACATATAATTGAATTTGTTGGTTTTTTTTTTATTTTTAGGCTTAAAAGCATTGGATTTGAAACAGGATCTGTCACTGAATGACAGTGATAAGCTGTCTGCTGACTTGTCAACTTTAGTGCAGAAAGAACAGTCAACTTTAAAATTAAATGTTTCAACATCAAGAAATACAAGTACAAAATCAATACCCAGGGAAAATAATTCTCTGAATAATTTTAATAATAATGAGCCATTCTGTGATAAAACCCCAACAAATAACTATATACTTGATGTTAAAGTGGAACAAGGTGGCAGTATGCACAGGGACATGAATAAGTCAGAAACAGATGTCTTAGTGGATGAAATATTTGGGGAAACTCCAAAAGGTTCCCCATTCAGTATCCAGAAGTCTCCATCAGATTGCCTGGTTGAGGAAGTCCTTTCCTCAGGTGTACTTAACTCTCCCTTTGTTGACCAATCACAGGATACAGGTAAGTTACTGAATTATGTGCAACTTTTTATTCATAACCCAACCACACCACACAGGTAGGTTACTGAAAAATACCTTCTGTACTCTACTGTCCGTTTTTAACTCAGCCACACCACACAGGTGAGCTACTGAAATATAAATACCTGTACTCTACTCTCCATTTATAACTCAACCACACAGGTGAGATACTGAAATATGAACCCTTTTAAAGGTAGTTATTTAATTTGTAAAGTGATGAGGGGAGAGAGTGCAGGAGCCCCCCCCCCCCCTTTTCCTGGAAATAATTTCACAATATATGAAATATTTTAAAACTTAACAACACCATTCAGTTAAATTACTAAATTATTAATGAAAATGCTTATCTCTCCATTTAAAAGTAATCAACACTATACAGAATTCCAAAATATTGACACCTTTCTTAACCCTCCGTTTGTACATGTTGTATATCATATAAGTGTACATGGTACAGAAATGTTACTGAAATATGGATTCTATTGCCCTGTTCACATGGAGAGTTTAATTTGAATTAAACGTAAGTTACTGCAAATTAAATTTGAACAGCGTTCAATTTGTTTTAGACTTGTGTATATGAAAAATATGTTTTAATATTCTCTCAATTAATTTTATGTTTAGATTCAGAGATGTTTGAAATTTTTCAACAGAGTGAATTTAGACACATTTAAGAGATGAAATAAAAAAGTATGCCAGTGACTTATGGAATGGTTGGGTGTTCATGCAGAAATCACAATTGGGGAGGGGTGTTGGGAACTGACTATTTTCCAGATTGTTCTCATCTCATTGGGGCAAATTATATAGACTGAATTTGAAAATCTTATAATAGCGTTATTATTCTCACATGCCATAGAGTTTATCAGTGTACCACATACGATATTGAGTTCATGACTATTGATTTTCTCTCAGTGTTACAGATAGTTTCCCTATATCCCTTAATTTGATCATGGTGACAACGTATATACTTTTCGGTGAACACTTATTGCTTATTACAATCCTGTTGTGTTTCAAGGCCAAGGGACCATGAATTTGTACTGTGCTTGTAGGTTACTTATTAATCTGAAACACAACATTCATGAACTCAGTTTTAAATTTTTTTTTAATCCATTAAGTTTATTTTACTTTTCATCTTTTTTCCTTAACAGATTGATAAGTTTCATAGAAAAATTTTAAATAACAAGTCCAATACATTGATAACATAAATATGATTAATTGTGCCTTTAAATTATTCATGTGAATTAATAAAACATACCGTTATAAATTTATGCAGAAAATAAACAATAAAGATTTGTTACTTGTCCTATATAAAAGTTGACTTTAAAGCACTATATACAGCTGTTCTGTCACTGTGTTCCATCACAGTTACTTGTTTGTTTTGTAAAAACACAGGGAGGGAGATATGTTATCAGTACATGTATTTATTTTTTTTTTGGTTTACTTTAACTAAACTAGAAAATTATGTCCATTAAAATATTTTTTTTTTATGAGTCATGATGATACAAGTCTATTGTTTTAGTCATTTGCTTAACCTATTTTTTTTAATCTCTAGTTGACAGAAATCGCCATTAAAATAAATTTTGAATAGGGTTAATGTTGTTATGTTAATTTTTTAAAATGCATTACTTCCAAGAGTTAAGAGAAAAAACTGAACCATCTGGAAGACATCAAAATTCTTTTGACATGCATTATATTGGATCTTGATTAAGCAACAGCATTTGTAAACAGTGCATCTGTATACAGCTCAGTGTGTGTTTTGAAGTGAGCTATAAATAGAAACCACAGCTAGCCTTGATTAGCATTTAGGGTGAAATAAATGACAGTAGGAAGCTCTATCTGACAGGTGTAATTGTTATGTTGTTGTGATGGGAAAAGTCTAGAAATCAGTGGCAAATACAGCATATAAATATTAGCTGGATGTATGGATTTATAAGGATACTTGGGATATAGTTTAATCAATGTCAGATCAGTAGACCAAAACAAAAAGGTGAGATGTCAACTGATATTATTGTCTACAATATATATTTCCTTTGTCAAATGGTTTGCCATTCATGTTTAAGACGAGATATTTGACATTAATTTGTAAAAATACATACTCTTTCACCAATTTTCTGAACTGTGGAAAATTCTTCAGCATATCCAACCCTGCATAAATCACTTGTAGCAGTACATTTAATCTTTATTGCAATAAATTTGTGTTTTCAGATAGGAATCATTTCAATGAAGGTGAATTGAAAAGTGATATTGGAGAAAATAAACAGAAGGTTCACATTGAGAAATCAATGGAGGAATTAGAGAGAGGTCTGAGTGAAATCAACTGTAGTGGTGACTTCACAAGGACAGACAAGTCAGCCCCTTATCTACAGCGACCCCATTCACCAGTAGCTGAATTCTTAGATCACTTGGAGTTTGAACCTACTGAAAAAAGTCAAGGGATTTTAGAAAAACAAGTAGATGCATTATCTGATCTTGAGAGTTCAAGGTCATCCCAAGGACTAGAGGCATCAGACAAAGAAAATGTTCCGGGCCCAGGCCTGCTAGCCTCCATCGATTCATTACCAGAACACCAGAACTCAGCAGTACCATCTTTTGATGAAGAGGTCGATATAGACCTGAGACAAGAAGGAATATCTGTACATATTACCCCCTCAGCAGGAATCCCCATTATCAGTAAGTACCCTGTGTATTTTTCTGTTATCGGTATATACATGTATACTGGAGGCCCTTTACTTTGTCTATGATGTTTTAATGGGACTGTGCCATCATAAGATTAAGTGTAGTATACTTGATCCATCATAACACACCTATAGTTTTGACCTTTGGCACAATTTTCAAAGGTGTTAAATTATTGTCATGGAATTTTTTATGGGCCAGAATGTTAAACCTTATCAAAATCAGAGGCTCGGATGAGTTTTTATTTTCTGTTTGATACATGATTTTCAGGCATCATTCATCTTTCCATTGGTTGTTGTTAGCTTTTTAGCTCACCTGAGCCAAAGGCTCAAGTGAGCTTTTCTGATCAAAATTTGTCCGTTGTCTGTCGTCGTTGTCGTTGTTGTTGTTGTTGTAAACTTTTCACATTTTCATCTTCTTCTCAAGAACCACTGGGCCAAATTCAACCAAACTTGCCACAAAGTATCTTTGGGTGAAAGGGATTCAAGTTTGTTCAAATGAAGGGCCACGCCCTCTTTCAAAGGGAGATAATTAGGAATTAGTGAAAAAATAACGGCATCATTTAAAAATCTTCTCAAGAACCACTGGGCCAGGAAAGATGAAACTTATGTGGAAACATCCTCAGGTAGTGTAGATTCAGGTTTGTTCAAATCATGACCCCTGGGGGTAGGGTGGGGCCACAATGGGGGATCAAAGTTTTACATAGAAATATATAGGAAAATATCTCTAAAAATCTTCTTCTTAAGAACAGCAAAGACATGATTGGTCATATTTATATGGAAGCATCCTCAGGTAGTGTAGATTCAAGTTTGTTCAAATCATGACCCCAGGGGGTAGGGTGGGGCCACAATGGGGGGGGTCAAAGTTTTTCATAAGAGTATATAGAAAAAAACTTTAAAAATCTTCTTCTCAAGAACAGAAAAGCCATGATTAGTAAAATTGATATGGAAGCATCCTCAGGTAGTGTAGATTCAAGTTTGTTCAAATCATGACCCCCAGAGGTAGGGTGGGGCCACAATGGGTGATCAAAGTTTACAGAGGAAAAAATCTTTCTCTCAAGAACAGAAAAGCCATGATTAGTAAAATTGATATGGAAGCATCATTGGGTAGTATAAAATGAAATTTGTTCAAATGAGCGCCCCCGGGGGTAGGGTGGGACCACAATGGGGGATCAAATTTTTACAAATGAATATATGGGAAAAAATCTTCTGCTCAAGAACAACAAAGTCATTTGTTATATTGATATGAAAGCATTGTCAGGTAGTTTAAAATCCCCCATCCCCCCTCTCCCCCGTTAACTTTTCAATACTGAACTGATTTTTGCTTTTTATACCCCCGCTCCGAAGGAGAGGGGGGTATACTGTTTTACCCTTGTGTGTCTGTCTGTCTGTCTGTCTGTCCGTTTGTGTGTCTGTCTGTCTGTAACAAATTTTGGTTGCAGTTTTCTCAGCAACTACTCATTGCAGAAGCTTGAAATTTTAGCACAATCTTTGTTTAGGCATGCCATATGGTGGGATTTATTTTTGTACGAATTCGATGTCAACTTTCTGTTTATCTGTGCGTCTGTCCGTACCATACATAACAAATTTTGGTCGTAGTTTTCTCAGCAACTACTCATCGCAGATGCTTGAAATTTTAGCACAATCTTTGTTGAGGCATGCCATATGATGGGATTCATTTTTGTACGAATTCGATGTCAACTTCCTGTTTATCTGTGCGTCTGTCCGTACCATACATAACAAATTTTGGTCGTAGTTTTCTCAGCAACTACTCATCACAGATGCTTGAAATTTTAGCACAATCTTTGTTAAGGCATGCCATATGGTGGGATTCATCTTTGTATGAATTAGATGTCAACTTCCTGTTTATCTGTGTGTCTGTCCGTACCATACATAACAAACTTTGGTTGCAGTTTTCTCAGCAACTACTCATTGCAGAGTCTTGAAATTTTAACACACTCTTTGTTTAGGCATGCCATATGGTGGAATTCATTTTTGTACGAATCTGATGTCAACTTCCTGTTTATCCGTGCATCTGTCCATACCATACATAACAAATTTTGGTCGTAGTTTTCTCGGCAACTACTCATCGCAGATGCTTGAAATTTTAGCACAATCTTGTTTAGGCATGCCATATAATGGGATTCATTTTGGTACAAATCCAGTGTCAACTTCCTGTTTATCCCTGCATCTGTCTGTTCCATACATAACAAATTTTGGTCGCAGTTTTCTCAGCAACTACTCATTGCAGGTGCTTGAAATCTTAACACAATGTTTGTTTAGGCATGCCATATGTTGGGATTCATTTTTTAGTAATCCAATGTCAATTTCCTGATTATCACTGTGTTTGTCCATAACTGAACTTGTGTATTCACATCAGAGTGGGGGTATTATTAGTGAGCATTGGCTCGCAGACTTCTTGTTTTCCTAGCCAATGTGCTCAGGTGAGCGATGTGGCCCATGGGCCTCTTGTTACATTTCCATCTTCTTTCTAGAACCAATTGGCCAATTTCAACCAAACTTGAAAGGGATTCAACATTCAAATGAAGGGCCATGATCCCTTCTTAAAACGGTTGAAAAACATCGGACTGTCAGACCGGACCGATGTACTGTGGCTCAGGTCCGATGCATCATCTTTTACACCGGACAGGAAAGTCTGATGTCCCAGTGACCGGTTTTGAGTTTTACAATTTTGACAAGGAGTCATAAAAATTAAGGAGTCATAAAAACCTTTCTTTTTTTAAGAAAAAATATTGCACAAATCCAAGTGCTTAAATAAGTGTGATAAAACTGTACGGACCATCTCAAGTATCCGAGTATTATATTTATGATTTCCTTGGTTCTGCATATTTACATGTTTCACTTTCTTACATAAAGTTTTTCGGTCTGACAAATTTGGTTCGGTCCTGTGTGTTCCCGGAGTACACGGGACCGAAGAACACATTCAAGTACACAGGACCGAATGTTCTATGTGACCAAAAAAATGTTTGCATAGACTGTTAAAAGAATTTAATTAAGCACAGTAAAAATAGACTTGGGCATTCAGAAATCCTCTTTTATGTAACCACTTCGCAAGAAGTCAAAACTAATGCAAGTTCTATGCAAATTGTGTACAAGTACATGTACATGTATGCAAGTACATGTACATGTACAAGTCACATCTTGACTCCCACTGCCAATATTAAGACTGAGTGAAAAATTTTCCATAGGAATGCATTAGAAAACTCTTTCAGAAGTCATCTTTAAAATGTGTATAAGTTCATTAAAGGTGCTTGGACACAGATTTGAAGTTAATATTTTCTCAAGTTTTCGGTATAATATCATGGCTTATATGTTGCTATAGCATTTCAAATGGAAATAAAATAAAAAACTTATTTTATCTGGAAATTATTGAAACTACAAATTTTGGGACATGTTTGATTGACACATCTATGCACTTTCACAAAGTAAAGTTTATCCTTAATACTTAAGAAAAGTAGAAATTTTGTTGTGCATTAATGAAAAATATTAAACTATAATCCAGAAAATAGAGAGTAAAATTGTGAGAAAGCAAAACCAACTCACCAGTATTGTCAGTCCATGCTCAGTGATGTGTGCAGAGTCTAACAAATTGAACACACCCGGTGAAACGTATTAACAATAACAGAATTCATGCCTTGTTTACAAAAACATTTTACGTTTCACGGATGTGTTCAATTTGTTAAACTCTGCACTTTATTAAAGAAAATTCATTTAAGAAAATTTAATTTTTTATTTAAGAAAATTCAGTTTGCATTGTTATGATGAGAAGGTGCCTTTTCCAAAATTGTGAAATTATGACCCAAGGGCCAGGGGTTCTGGCATTCAGACAGTGCTTTATTGATCATAAAATGAAAATGCGTAATTTTTTTTTTAAAATAAAAAGCTTCTTCAGACAAACTAAGTACATGGTTTTGATGAGCAAGGGTACCTCTTCCAAAATTGTGAAATTCATGGCCCCTTGGTCAGGGGTTCTGTATTAAGAAAGGGTTCTATTGATCATAAAGTGTAAATATGTATTTATTCTTTGAAAATCTTTGTTCTCTGACTCTGAATATTTCGCAAAGAAACTAAGTGCATGGTTATGATGTGGAAGGGTGCATCATCCAAATTTATAAAATGCATTGCATGAGGGGTTCTGGTGTTAGTGCAGCTAGTGATTATGTGTAAATGGATTAATTCTTTGAAAATCTCATCTGCCCCTGTGTATTTAACAGATAAACCAAGTGCAGGGTTAAGATGAGCAAAAAAGCCTCTTTCGGAATTTAAAGTTCACAGTCCCTGGGTTATGGTGTTAGGGCAAGGCTCTGTAGATTATGTAGTGGTGGGCAGGGCACTGTTGATCTTGTAGGGAAATTTGTACTCTGCTTTGAGAGAAGTTAGTCCCCTTGATTATTCACCTGTGATAATCACTGTCAGGGTTCAAAATTAACTTTTATTACCATGAGCAAACTTACATAGTGACAAAAGCATTTACTAGCAAAATTGAAAATTAATTCACTAGCAATTTTCAGAAATTATTCAATAGTGGTAAATTCAAGCTCAAATCCAGTGTAAAAATATCTGCAGTCATTGTTTTCTTGGGGGTGGGGGCTGGGGCCCATAGAATTGAAAATTTCAGTGCCAATTAGGATAAATTGGGATTTCAAGAAAATTCCTATCATATGAGAAGCAATTTCAAATATTTGTATTAATTTGACAAACAACTCGAGAATATTTCAGGTATTACCTTATAACTTACGTCAAGAACAATAGTAGTATGAATTATCAAATGAAGAAATCCAAAATGGCTGACCAACAAGACCTGCTTGAGTTTACTGAGAAACATGAAATAAAGAAACTGATTGTGATCACAAATTTAGTCAGATTTTCTTTGGGAAAACTTCCAAATAATATATTTTGGGAAAATACAGGTTTATTCAGCCCCAGATCGGCCCTAAAAATCATGACAAGTAGTCATTCAAACACTTAATTTGGACAGGTCAAAACTGGAACTTATCCATAATTTTTGCTAGTATTTTATGTGATACACTCGTTAAAATGTATTTTATGGTCACATTTAGCGAGTATTTCCACTTAAATTTTAACCCTGACTGTAATGAAAAAAAAAACAATTATACAAGAATTTTTGTACACCTTTATACAATACAATTTACTTGATGTTTAAAAAAAAAAAATTTCATCAGTGTTTAGAGCTTCCTTAAATTAAGAAAAAAATGATAATAATTAATTAAATAAATAATGAAAAAAAAAACAAGAGAAGAAGGAAGGATTTGCATACATTGAACAGGGCTCGACATGAACTTTTTACGCTACTTGTCCATTCGGACAAATGACCAAGACATTTACTTGTCCGAACTTCAACTTCACTTGTCCGAATTTTTTTCAATTAAGATCGAATACTCTCAATTGGAAAACTAAATAAAGTCCATTACATGTGCCTGATGTTATTTATAAATACAACAAACACATAAAACAAAATTTTATCTAGACTTTCTGTCTTGACAACAACATCAATGTTCACAAGTGAAACCGTCAACATAAATTTGTAAGTTCCATGCCTTTGAGTATGCAATAAGTGAACTTTGATCCCGGTCGAGTGTGAACTCAATTACATAGCAAACCATATCGGGATCGAAGTTCGGTTTTTATGTACTGTTTCCGTATTTAAAGTACCGGTAAACTTTCAAGTCATTCTTTAATTATTTGGAGACTTCTTTACATTAAAATGCACTTGTCCAATTGGACAAGTGCCCTGCAATATCCACTTGTCCGTAATTTTTTTTTCATTGGTACCGGACAAGTGGACAAGCGTTAATGTCGAGCCCTGTTGAACCTTTAAGGATAAACTTAATTGTTAAATTACTGAAACTTTCAAGTTTCATTAATTTAAAAAAGAAAAAAAAATCTGGGAGGAATTTTCCCTTAAAACAAGTTGTTGATATTAATATTAAAGGAAAAAAGCAATATCTTATGTTTGTGACATTGTAAGAAATAATGAATTTAATGAGAAGCTCTAACAATAATGTGTAAAATCTGATCTTGCAATCCATCAGAAGATGGCATCAAGCAGATTAGCATTTCTCATTAGGCTTCCTCTTGACTCCTCCAAGAACTAGCTTGATTATTGATCTTAAATGAAGCTTCTTAGATTTTCTGACAGCAAAAGCAGTTTTGTTTTGTCATCAGAATTCTCTCATTATGATATAAACCAATTATAAGTTCCTTGGAGAGATATTGCTTTGATTAGACAGAGTGACAAGGTCTACATCCAAAGTGCATGTATTGTATGCTAGAGTAATAGTGGTATAAGAAAAATGATAAAGACAATCTGTGGATAATTATGTCCCCTCTCTGCTAGATGAGTCTGTCGGAACTTCAGTCAAGGTCACACTGGTGGAGCATATAATTGTTGTCTCTTCCTCTGGCCAAATTTCATTCATACTTTTAATACAAGTGGAGTAAATGTATTTTTTTTTTCAAATTTCAATATTACCCATTCTTCATCCAAAGAACATCCCTGGTCAGAGTGTTGGCAGTAAGCTATACTCTCAAAAGAACATATAAGTCAGTACTATCATAATCAAGGTCGGTACTGTTCTGATTGAAATGCCACCACTCACTATGGTCTCAGAACTTCAGTAGATGTAAATAAGCAAGCAAAATTACAAGGTTTGCTTAAATTGGTTTGGAAATTGAATCCTTTAATCATTCAATAAAATATTGCTGCTTATTGATCAGTACAATGATCTGTCAACCCTGGAAGTAGAGTTTTCACTGTGCCCTTCAGGTCCTTTTCCCCATCTTTTTTTTGTGTATCAGACTTTGGTCAGTTATAGAAGGTGTTAAAACATTACAATGTCTGTGTGACCACCATTATTCTTAAGGAGTTCATTGTATCTTTTTCTGTGAAAACATGGAGGTTATCACCAAACTATTTTCTGTTTTTTCAGAAGATTCTATAAATATCCAGGAAAGTCCCTTGTCAGAAGACATTAGGAAGATCTACAGAGAAGCCATGGGAGGGGAAGAGTTTGGTAAGGAAGGCTCTAAACAAAGTCAATCTCACCCAGGTAATTTCAGATCAATTCTAAACAACTAAATGTAATTTATATAAACACAACAGATTATTGTATTGCAGACATAGTTCCCCATCTACTGCCCCCAGTAAGATAATAGGAATACTATTCTATAGTTTAAGGTTAAATTATTCATGCATATAATAAATAGACTGTCAGTTATATGGTAAAATGGTGGACATTGCATTTTTATGGAAAAATGATGCACACAATGAGCTGAAACTTTCAGCAAATGTTTATTTATCATATTTAAGAACATCTTCATATTTTCAATAAATTTAATATATAAAATTTAGGATTTTATATTATACTTGAATTTGCAAAGGGTATGCATGGCCCTAAGGCACACGACCAAAAAATCAGGGTCTTATCAGAGAATATTTGAGTACTGTAGATTCCTAAATATACGCGAGGAATTAATTATCGCGTAATTACGCGAGAAGAACCACTCGCGAAATAAAATTACTCGGTTTAATTTTTATGGTTCTGAAATCCATGTAAAAACTCTTGATCAAGAGTCCACTCGCGAATTATTCTTCTTGCGATTTGTCGTCTTAGGGCCATTTCGCGATATTAAGTACTCGCGTAAAATAAGGAATCTACAGTATTACATGTATTTCAAAATAAATGTAGTAAGAAGATAAGGTTGGGGTAAAAATTTAATTATCTATAATTCCCTATCTGTGTCATCATATGGAAAATTTTGAGGATTTGCTTAATTTTTCGCAGTTTTCCAAGACTTTGAAATGGGAAAGGAATAAATTCAGCGCATGAAAAAATGGCGACGTTTGATGACGTTTCGGTGCACCTGAGAGCAGTTCAGTTATATGTTGATTATAAGTAATGATGCCTTAAGAGACTTTAAATGATAATAGAATATAAAAAATGCTGTATATAAAAATTTCCCTAATACATAAGGATACAGTAGAATGAACATTTTTTTTTAACGGGAGCTTTTTGATCAAGTCCCCTGATAGATCAAAACATACAGAAGATCAGCTATTTGCAATGATGAAAGACGCAATCATTGCAGACTGTCAAAAAAGACTTACTAATAGGCAGTGAAAGTGAGAGTACCTTCCATAACTTAGTTTTACAAGTTTTCATAGGGCCCCATGTGTGTGTGAGATTTGTCCCATGACTGTTTCTGGAGCAAGAAAGGGGAACTCAAGTGTGTGTCTTAGTGAAATTGCCGGAATTAAAGTGGGACTTTTCTATCTTATTTATGCAAAGAGGAAACATGAAGTTGCTTCAGAAATTTTGATGTTATCCTCCATGCGCCGTAAGCCGATACCACACATAGCATAAAAACCAATATTTTGTTTACTTGAGCATATAACTCTTTGAAATTGTTATGTATATTGATGAAAAATGTACTAAAGATTAGGAAAAATTTTAGAAAGCAGTGTTGATTATTGTTATGGATAATGTCAACAATAGGTAGTGTCCACAGCAAGTGTCTAATGGTGCAAGTCACGAGTTATGCAGGAGTTGTGTACCCCAATATCTGTAGGAAACATTGATGCAATTGTTACCCCTATGGGGTCATACAGGACTTGTGTACCCCAATATCTGTAGGAAATATTGATGTAATTGCTACCCCTCTGGGGTCATACAGGACTTGTGTACCCCATTATCTGTAGGAAATATTGATGTAATTGCTACCCCTCTGTGACATAAGAGATTCTATGAGCTTTTATTGATGGAATGGATGCTCAACAAAGATGGCTAAAGATAATGCAATAATACCCAGAATCATATTAAATTTTTATCACTGTCTTTGATGATTGCATCGGGATGTTTATTTGTTGTAAATGTCAAGGGTTTTTTCATGGAAATGAAAAAAAATCCAATATGTTATCTGCTTACTTTATCAGAAAGCTTACCATAGACAAATGAAATTTCTCCTTTTTAGGAGGTGAATTGGAGCAAGTTGATTGAGATGATTAATTTGCCTGATTATTTTTGCTCTTTCAGACATATTTGATGATTTCCTCTGTACAGCAGATGTGCATGGGGACTTGGACAGTGTTGAAATGCCAGTGTTCAGTCTGAATGACTCTACAGATGATATCATGGAGCAAGGAAACCAGTCAAATAGAAGTGTGAACTCAGGGCAGTATCCATCAGGATCTGACAATGGTCAGAAACTAGTCAAAAATATGTCTCCACATGTGTCAGACTTGAATGGAAACCCTGTCCACCACCATCCTTCCAGAGGTGTGGACCGCTTAATAGTGGATAGACAGCTTAGTAGGACATGGGAACAATTGGAGCTGTCCATGGAGGTTCTTGATGACTTGATGGGGAAAGACCATCAGTTTTCTCCCTTCCTTCAGTCCCCCAAGGAGGGATTTTTTGGTCAACACAAGAAGTCACCTTTTTCTGACTCTCCAGTTTGTCCTAAACCTAAAGACAATTCTTCCGAGGGACTAGATACTTCTGATGACTTGGATGAATCTTTTGTTCCATTCAAGGATGGTTTTAGTCTGGAAGGGGGCACAACTCCAGCTAAAAAGAATGTGCTGATAAATTTAGATGTTAATAAGGATAATGGTGCAGAACAGAGCAGCACTGATGATATACTAGCTAGATTAGAAAAACTGAAGCAGAAGAAATCACAAATAGTCTCAGATGGAACGTAATCAGCATTATAATGTCTAGTTGTTCATCATTGTATTATTTTTAGACATTTTTCACATATATCCAAGTGGGAGCTGAGATATTGTTGTATGAACTATGTCGCTCAAACTTTCAACAGTTTCATTTTTTACATAGAAATAGGTGACTTATTTGGAGCGTTGCAACAGCATTTATTACCCTGATTATTTTTGGTGAGTAAAACTTGCATTTAATTACTAAATATAAAATGCCTTCTTTGTATCCAAAACAAATTTTGTTTCCCTGTGATAGATGTTATTTGAACCGAATTAAATGTAGTGTAATTTTTTTTACATCCTCAAATTTTTTATCTTGTGTTAAATACTATATGCAGGAAATTTTTGCCATATACATGTAGTTATTTTCAGCTTTTTATTAAGGTGAAAATAGATATTCACAATATTTGGATTTGGCTAAAATTTGTCAATACAGTCAGTATATATCTAATATTATTTGGGGGGGGGATGTTTAAAGTATGATTTTCAGACACAGCTAGTAATTTCTTAAAAAAAGCATTAAAATATTTTATGTTAGGAAAATTTAATTTTGATGTAATAATTTTACATGGAAACTCTTAAGCCAGTGCACTCATTGTCAAAGTCGTTATTCTTGTTTTTTTTTTTAACCTTTTTATGCTTGTCACTTTCTTAGTATGGTGTAATAATTTATTTTTTACATAATGTTCTTTGTGAACTAATGTAATAAATGATTTTTTTTACATAATGTACTTTGTGAATAACTTCAGATTTGCACACATATTATGAATTATAATCTAAGTTTTTGGGGCGGTTTGCTTAGTAAATCTGAAATATTGTTTTATAGATTGACAATTTCTATGTGTATCGGCATGTCGCGTCCACGGTTTTGTTTAGAGTTGTATTTAGCCCTGTTGTGGGTGACTTATTTAAAGTATAAACTTCAAACTTCTCACTTATTTTAATCAGGATGAAAATGTTTTGAATAGATATTAGAGCTTTTTCATTGAATTTTGTTCAAAGTTTACATTTGCCTTGACCATTGACTTATGGAATTATTATTATTCAAGAAAAATGTTGTGTAAAAGAAAAATACTTTGTCAGCAGGGATGTAAAAACTACTGTATGTGTACTTAAAAAAGTGGGCTTCATATTTTAGTGGCTTTGGCCCAGACAAAGATGCACTAATTCATGAATACCGCTAAGAAATCATTTATAAATAAAATATACAGCACTGACATGTACAGCGCTAATTCATGATTTCGCCAGCAACTCCATACCCAGCAATTGCGCTAAATTTTGAATACGCCAATTTATGTACACGTACAGTATCTGTATAGCCAAAAATTTGTTTATCAGTGTTCATTATGTATGATTTATTTCAATAGAGTTTATAAAAGTATTTTGCTGAGACCTCAAAATTTGTTGTATTCATAAATTGCTACATCAGTGTTCATTATATTAGAATTTTGATGTTTTAGTTAAATAGACATTTAAATCTCTATTGAAAATAGCCTAGTATATTACATCTAGCACTCATTTCACACAGAGGCAAATGCAACATTTTGGAAATATAACTTCATAATTATGTTAATTTTGACCTTTGCTTTTGAAATTTTGGTAGATAATATACACTATCATGCTACTGTTGTGTTTCTTTGTTTAATGTGGTTGTAATATTGAACTGAAAATAACAATTAACAACTTTGTTTAAAAATGCCACTTCTTTGCAATCCACATGATCCAGCCATACCAACTTCATTGATTTTCTTGTTTCATCTTATAGTGAAAACATGAACTATTGAGAATAAAATTCTTGATTGAAAAACATTTTGTGATTGAAATTCTGTCTTACTGAGGAATTGTGAAATAAGTTGATGATATGACAAGTACAATAGGAAAATTATTGTTAATTATTGTTAATTAGTTAGATCCAATGGCTTACGACAGTCGAGGCTTTGCATGATGACTCGGTAATTTATGTGTCGGTCACCTTGTGGGGTAACAGGGCAATACCAGAATGTATAAATTTTATGAAGAATTTCTTTTAAAGGATTCTGAGAGAGGGATCATATCTTATGTAAATATAACTGAATGAAGTGAGAATATAATAGAATGAAGTGATAATAAATATAGCATAGTGTTTGTGTAATTGGCAGTTGGATTTATTTAAGAGGTAGAATTCTATATAGTTTTAAGATTTTCACTGCAATACACTTATTTACATGTGCAGGTGTAAATGCACATTAATGTTAAAATATATTAGGTAATATTGATGCACAACTATTATTTGCTCCATCTGTACCAATCAATACCCTGCCTGTCTTTTACATTAAACATTACTTCTGTTAACAATATGATCTGGGTAGAACTAGTCTAAAGCAGACAATGCAGCTGAGCTCTTGGAGAGATCAATGGAACAATTTCACAATAGGGGATGAATCGTTAAATCCCATTTTAAAGCAGACAGTTAATCTAGTGTATAGAAGTCCCGGTCAGATGTGGATGTTATGTGGAGATTGTTGTTTGTGGCACTCCTTTACATTGGTACAGATGATAGCTCTTACATAATATTGTGTAGGTTGTACCTCCAAAATCGGGTCTATTTAGGCTGAATTTGTTGATAAGGAGGTAAATCTGGAATGGTAGCCCACATATCTGATTTTCCCCAAACTTCTACATAAGGATGAAGATATATTGCAGATTTTTATTTAAGACATCACCATAGGACAAAGGGCAGGGTGTCAAAGCCACTTCAAAATGGACTTAATAAATGATAATCTTTAAAACTTTGATATTTTGCACACAATGACTGAGGTAAAAAGAAATCTTGGTGGTGCATTAATATTTGGTTAGTGTGTTTTGGGGTATCTGATATGACAATCCAAAAGTAGGTCCTGGTGATAGTGACTTACTTTTTATTTTAACAACTTTATATTGTCAAACCTTTTCATCTATTTCATGGACTCTATTAAGCTTTAGGATCATTAAAACTTGACTAATGATATATCTAGGAATCGGTCAAAAGTAGGTCATTAAAACCTACATTTTAGGTTGCCTAAGTAGCTCATATTACCTATTGTTATCTGTTATAATGACCGATGAATATTGAAGAATAAACTATTCACATTTTCAACTTCTTTTAGATTGGTGGGCAGATTTTAAACACACTAAGCACAAGGCATCCCAGGATATCAGAGATTCATTTTATATGTATATAGATTTATTAGATACTTAGCAAGAAATACTGGTTTTTTACATGTGTGATATATGCCTGACATTGCAATAACCGTATCAGTTTCCAGGGCTGATACAGATCCTGCAGGGTTGATATGGATCTGCAGGGCTGATACGGATTTATATCACACCCCTGGTAGACTAATCAATAAAAACATGGTGATAATTTGTAGTCCCCTACATGTAGGTCCTATTTTAAATGAATAATTGATAATCCAGGAATCTTGAGTAAAGTTTAAGAAGTTCACACTTTTTTAACTTGCTTTCTTCATGGTAAATTTGGAATGATTAGGAATTTTTTTTTTCTCTCTTGGGTCAAAAAGTTTGAAATGAAATACAGTAGGTAGGATTTCTAAAAAAAATATTTCAAAAATGATGCAGTTCTATGTAAACATGTACATACGCATTTTTAGCTCACCTCAACGAAGTTGGGGGAGCTTATGTAATACCCTCGGCGTCGGCGTCCCAGTTTAAGGTTTTTGGAGCAGTTTTCTTTTCAAGTACTTTTAGGGCCTATATTAGTCAGAGATGCATAGAGGATGCTTCTAGTGTGTTTCATTGTACCAGTCAAGGTTTCAGATGCTGCAATTTCAGCTAAAGAATGACCAGGTTAATGTTTTTGGAGCAGGTTAAAGTTTTTGGAGCAGGTCTCATTTCCAAGTAACTATAAGCCCTATATTGACCAAACTTGCATGGATGATACATCTAAGGATGCACACTACTAAACTTGCTTCAGATGCTGGATCTGACTAAATTTTCCGGATGAGTGACTAGGTTAATGTTTTTGGAGCAGATCTCATTTCCAAGTAACTAAAAGCCCTATATTGACCAAACTTGCATGGATGATACATCTAAGTATGCACACTACTGGACTTGCTTCGGATGCTGAATCTGACCTATATTTACCGGATGAGTGACCAGGCTAAAGTTTTTGGAGCAGATGTCATTTCCAAGTATCTATAAACCCTATATTGACTAAACTTGCATGGATGATACATCTAAGGATGCACACTACTGGACTTACTTCGGATGCTGGATCTGACTAAATTTTCCGGATGAGTGACCAGGTTAAAGTTTTTGGAGCAGATGTCATTTCCAAGTAACTATAAACCCTATATTGACCAAACTTGCATGGATGATACATCTAAGGATTCACACTGGATCTGACGTACATTTTCCGGATGAGTAACCAGGTTAAAGTTTTTGGAGCAGATCTCATTTCCAAGTAACTATAAGGCCTATCTGAACCAAACTTGCATGAATGATGCATCAAGGGACGAACAATCTCAAAACTTGCTTTGGATGCTGGATCTGACTTACATTTTCTGGATAAGTGACTAGTTTTAAGTTTTCAGATAAGTCTATTCCCAAGTAACTGCAAGTCCTATCAGACCAAAATTGCATAAATGTTGCATCTAGGGATGCACACTCCTAGATTATTAGTTTAGTGTGGGACTTTGCCTTACTTAAAGACAACATTCGTTGAGGTGAGCTCTGTAATCTCTGATTACCTATGTTTGTTTCATCAAGGAATAATTTAATTTTGGATGCAACGCGGTATTTGATTGGATAAAACATTTGCTTTATATCCTACATGTATAGATTGGATTGCCTACGTCATAATGACTTGCATCAAAAACCTATAGATCCGCCTGACATTACATTCAAGTTTTGTACAAAGTGAAGTCATTTTTTAAGGGCAATCATCTTTTTTTCTTATACCAAATGAATGAAAATTAAATTATAAGGAATGAATTAAATAGCTACCCAATTTATACGGTATAAACTGGGTTAGAACAGTTTATGCTTTTTTATAAACTGCTTTGTGGTTTTTAAAGCATAAACTGCCCCAAACCAGTTTATACCATATAAAATGGGTAGCTATGAAATTCATTCCTTAAACACACTTCTGACAAATCCCAAAATCTACAAAACATATTGATACAATGTTGATAGCAAAATGTTATGAAGGGTTATTTTTTCTCTTTATTATCTAATAAAGAAATACAAGTATGATTTAGTTGTCTTCTTTCCAGTATTGATGAATAACATATACACTGTATATATTATGTGTCTGTAATTTTCACAGTATTATTGGAAGAAATTGTGATAAGTTTTAAACTATAAAAATTTAGCCATATCTGATCAGTGACTCTAATGTTAGTTCTTCACTGGTGTATATATTACATGCAGGTACATGTAGCTAATGAAGGTAGGCAAACTTGTGCCCAGAAAATAAAAACAAAACACTTGTTCATATTGCAGTTAACATTTATTGTGTAAATATAGATTAACAGTGTGTATATACTTATATAAATAAAAAATGAAATCCTAACAACCAAAGCCAAATGCAATCCTTAAGCAGGATTCAACATAAATAGATAGAGAGCAAAATAATTATCTTACTTGCCTTATCAAACAAATAAAGAACTAAGACACTTTATAGTAAATACTCAAAATAATAATGATCAACACTATAATGTTCCCTACAATTAATGGCTGGAAGACCTTAAATAAAAGTATTATTGAGTGGTTAATGGCAAGTAATGGTGTATGATAGTTTTGATTTTGGCCTCTATTTGCAATCCTCTTTTATTTCAATAAAGAACACATTCTGTAATATCATGTGACAGATGAAAAATAAGACACTAAGGGGGCAGAATATTGCAACCTGAACACAAGGAAACTCAATGACTGTATTTTACTTTGTCATAACTCTGTTGTCTAATATTGCAGTTGTTATGCTTTGCCAAAATGCTCCAGGGGTGTCAGTTATAAATTTATTTTAATTTAGGACGGATTTATAGTAGAGTTGCTAATTGGTTATAGCCCAAGAGATAAATAATCTTCAAAATACACTGTTTATATAAGTTACTAAATATAGACTTTGTTAGGAATGTAAATACTGAAAGATAATTTCCATATTTAAAAAATAAAATAAAATGTATAACCTTTAAAATCTACTCTACCCTAATAACCATGAATAATATTAAATCACAGAAATTTAACACAAAAAGGAATGGACGGCAGTCAGATTCAAATAAACATCTACACAATGTTGTGGTATATTATGAACGTGTTGTAACAAAGGAATGCTGTGTAAAGTATTGCACATTCAACTTAAAGTCAACAACTTATTTACTCTTTCTAGCAGAAAAGTTTTCCTTGATTTGTCAAAAACTGCATTTACTTCTTGGGAAAAAAAAATTTCAAAATATAAAAATTGTGCAAAAAATGCATACTTTTTTGATTTTATTGTAAAATGCTATAAAAGAAACACATAAATATGTATTTCCCTGATTACCTACAAAGAAATTCATCTTGAAAATTGAAAATACATGATTCTGCTTAAATGTTCTGATTTGAAAACGGATTGAAAATGGAGCACAGTGTTGGAGTAGGAGTCTACTTGCGAGGGGATTTGGCTTGTGAAGGATAGGCTGCCATGACAGCTGGGGAAACACTGTTAAAGGAAAAGTCACTGGCTATAGATGTATCTGGGGAACCATCATTGTTATGATAGTTGTAATTCCCTCCTCGAGGAGTTGTGATGCTGCGTAGTGTTTCTTCAAAATATCCACCTGCTGCCAGCATGTTCTGAGCTTGGGTCTGAGAACGAGCAATTATCTCATTGATTGCTTCCATACGTGATTTTGAAGGTCTGAAAAAAAAAAATCAGCATCAGCATTATTTATCATTTTCAAGAATTTATTTTTACAAAGTAAAAGAGTTAGAGTTTTAAACACTTATACACAAAAGTATAGTCATCTTTTCTTAGAGGTGATTATCCCCCTTATTTTAATCATGCAAAGATGGATATTTAGTACAAATTTTACTGACTTTTCAGCTGAGGACTGGTCTCTCCTCCTAGAGGACATGAACTGTTTCCTCAATCTCCGGCAGTCCTCCTCTAGAGCCTGTAGTGAGGACTTTGTAATGGTGTGCACCGCTCTCTCTGTGCTAAGGTCAGTTTCCAGGTCGCGTACCTGCTTTTTATACTTTTTGATGAGTTTGAGGTCCTGTTCTCGTTGGTTTTCTCTTTCCTTAGCTCCTTCAAAGTGCTGCTGCATCTTTAGACTCATGTCTTGGATGACTTTGGACATGTCTTGCCACATGGATTTGTCTGCGTCTGTGGCTTCCTCTGCCTTCTTTGTTAGGAAGTTCTTCAGCCGCTTCACCTCATCTTCCTGCTCCTGGTATCTACAGGTAATACATGTATATATAAATATATGTGCTTTAACAGATCACTCTGATGATGGCTTTACTTTAAAGAGTTGTTTGCCACTGCTCTTTCATTTTTTTTGGTCTTACCTGGTGGCCAGAATTTTGATTTTCTTACCTCGAGCCCAAAACTTTACATTCTTACCTGGATGTCAGAATTTAACTGTCTTACTTGGATGTCAGAATTTAATTGTCTTACCTGGAAGCCACAATTTGATTGTCTTACCTGGAGGCCAGCTTAGACTGAATTTCCTCCTCCACTTTCAAGTTGTCCTCCACTTTTCTCAATTTTGAGGACCTCTCCCTGATCTGGTCTTCCAAATTCAAGATGTCCTCTTGGAGCTTTAATGAATTTTTATTACCAATTAGGAATTCAGAATATTCGAGTACATTCTTCTTCTCAAAAAAGAAAATATCATTGATACAGCATCTATTTAAAACATGCAGTTATATGAAGCCTAGTATATTTAACTCTAATCAAACAAATATCTTTGCCTCATCAAAATACATAATGTTTTAGTCCATGTCAAACTGTATTAATGTATTTTCTACTTAGATGTAAATAATTGTATAATATTATGAGGCTAAACTCTATCATTATTACCTTTAGGTTCTCTTTGTTTTTGCTCTGAATTGTCTCCCTTGCCTTTTCCAGGTCAAAGGTTAATTGCTGGTTCTGCTTCGATAATTGCTCTTTCTCCATTTCCATCAGGTCTCTGCAAGATAAGCACAAAAGCTCTTAGTACTTTATATAACTCTAATTTCCTTATACTTGTATAAATGATAACTTGTTGAAACAAAATTTCATGTTTTGATGCACGACAAATGTGATATCAAAAAGCAATTTTTAAGAAATAGATTTTAAAAAGTAACTTTAGAGAATCCAAGTGGTAAGAGAATGTAAATACATGTATTAGTTACATGATCAATAATTTACATTAGACTGTGTCATTGCATATTATCACATGATTCATTTCACATGGTTATTTAAAGTTTAAATAGATGTATCATTTTGTCAGTATGTTGTCCTGCTAATCTAGGAGCCTTAACTTACAGCTGTTGTTTGAACTCCTGAGTCGACTTCTTCAGCTTTCCACCCAGCTGTTGTTTCTGTCCATCAATAATCTGTCTCAATTTGCCAATCTCAGTCTGGATGAAACAAACAAAATTTTAAATCTCCTTACAGAAGTAAAGTAAATCTGCAGTGCAGTTTTATTAACCCATATACTACTGTCCCATACAAAATTATCTAAATAAATTAAGTGCTTAGATACATATAATTTATGCCTTTAAGCAACAGGAATAAAATAAAACATTCCTCAAATGGTGAGTCAACTGATATACAGTCAAACCTTATCTCAAACTCAATGGGACCGAGAAAAAACTTTGAGATATCTGAGGATTTAAGATATCCAGGGTAAAGTACTTTAAGAATAAGGGGTTGGGTCTTCCAAATCACCTTGACATATGGTATTAGAGATATCAGTGATCTAGATACCAAAGTTTAACTGTATAAGTTCTTAAATCCAGATTAACAAGATATCACTGTAGATTTATCAATTCATTGAAGCACACACCTGCAATACCTCCACCTGTTCCTGTTTAGCCTTCAGTGAGGACTGCTGTGTGGCAGACACTGCCTCTAACTCCTGAATCCTCTCCTCCAGTTCTAGTCCTCTGTCCTTCTCTGTCCTCAGCTCCTTCTCCAGTTTGACCAGACTGGTCTGACACTGGTTCAATTTGTCCTCAGTCAAAAACTGTAACACATAAATCAGCAGGGCTAATTATGATTGCATAGTTAATGTAATCATACAGGTCCTAATGAACATTTTTTACTTTTGTTGAACTTTGTAAATAAGTATTAGCAATTCAGTATTCCTAAATATCATATCGTTGGATTCTAATTTTCATTTTCTACATAAATAAGTACAGTGCGGAGGAATTTTCCCTCTCTATAGATTCCCTACCCTCTCCCTGCGGCTGTCATTAAGCTGAGTCTGTAGACTCTCCGACTTCTTGTCAGCGACCCTATAACACGTTGTCTCCTCCTGAAGTTTGGCTTTGGTCTCCTCCAGGGAGTGTTCTAGCATACGATTGGTCATCTGGAGTTTGTCTCGTGACTCAACAGCTGAAGCCAGACTGTTTTCCATTGCCTGCATTTTAGACTGGGCCTGGTAAAAAAAAAAAAAAATCTGACCGTAATATTTACAAGCAGGAGAGCTAGACAGACATGAAGATAGATAAAGTAATTCCTCCTTAAGGAACCACTGTTGACCTATTTTAATTTTTTAAAAAAGTTTTCTTACGGAACAAATTACCCCTGCACATTTTCACAAGTAACACATTCTATTTGAGCTTTGCCTTCTCCCCTTCCTATTTTTTTATGTAAATCAAACCTTCTTTTTGTACAGTTTTGCAAGATCTTAAAACAGAATAGCAGATCTCCTAAGTTCAAATAGCATGTATCAATGATTTTACTTACTGTGTGACAATGCACAAATCATGCAAAATTTTAGTAATTTACCATTGCATGAGAAAATTTCTATTTGAATCACTCCTCTTGGAGATAGGTTTCCTCTAACAAATTGCTATTTACCTACAACAGGTTTCATTTGAGTTATGCCAATTTCCCTTACCAATTGTTTATCTGAGATAAACTCTCTCTCATTAACACCCCCCTCCCCCCAACCTTTTCCTGAGACTCTCTGAACTATACCCTTTTCCCTTGCTCGTTATTTACCTGCAATAGATTCTCCTTGAGGTATGCCTTCTCCCCCTCATGATGAGACCTGAGGTCTGAGATAGATTTTTCCAGTTCCTGTATCTGTCGAGTGGAGGACACATTCTCCTCCTTTAGCTGGTCAGTTAGCCTGGTTTTCTCCACCTGAAGTTTGGCCTGGATTTCCTGTTATACAATTATAAATATTACTAGTAATCACCAAGTCAATAAAAGAAATAAAGTGCACTGGTAGTGTGCATGATAAGCCCATCCCAAACATAATTCAAAATGAGGTCAGGTTAACCTACATTGGATATTGACATATTCTTTCCCCTCAAGATGCATTAACTGAAAGGCTTTGATAGTCCAAGGCCTCACAGAGTGCAAGCTATGATCAGGACACAATTGATTTTGTTAAGTCATACATAAAATTCCAGAATGAGACCAGGGTGACCTTTAACTATGCGGTGATGCACCATCCCTCCAAGATACATCAAACAAGTCAACAGTGTTTGACGGGGTCCTAGGCCTCACAATTTACACACCACTTTACTGATTCCAAAATGAAATCACTTTTAATATAAAGATTCCAAGATGAGAAACTGTGAAAGCCCTTGCTATTCTCCCTGTACCATTGTAGTGATGGTCAGCTGTTTATCAACATGATGAAATGTCAGTTAAATTCTCTCACCTGCATCCTGTTAATGGTGCTCTGTTGAGATTCCATCTCTCTTTGATGATTCTGTAATAATTGTTTCACAGAGCTACAGTCAAATGTAAGCTTCTCAACCTGGTGTTCTAGCTCATGCTTTTGTCTGTAAAGAAGACATTCATTATCATGTGATATTTCTTATAAATAGAAGATTTGTAGAAGATATACAGTTGAATCAATGTTTGTTAAACTTTTTTTCTTACAGTTTCTCACATCTTAAGAAGGGAGATTTGATAAGTCCTTTTCAGGTATGAATTGTCTTACTTTGTGAGTTCCTCTAGCTCATGCAGGGCTCTTCCAAAAGTCACCAGCTGAGCATCTTTCTGTTTGATTTCCTCATTTAAGTTATTGATGGACTCTCTAAAAAAAGTCACTTATTAACATGTTCTGTGTATTTTCATATACAATCATTAAGTTAAAACTACATTCCTCAAGGTAAATGTGTTATCTGCAAAAAGGAATCAAAAACAGTTTTAGAAGAAAAGTCATATCTGTTTAGCAGTGACTGAGATTGACTTTATAAAGGTGACTCTACTTATTTGTGGCCAATGTCTTATCTAGCTTCAACTAAGTCACTGATGAGGTGACTCGAAGATCTATTTTGAATTTATCTAAGTTATTCTATTCAGAGCATCTTCATAACTAGCTATCTCTATTTAGAATGACCATATTTGCATTGGCAGTATAAGCTGAAGGTACACTGAAGGTCTTTCTGCTTATTAGGTGATTGAAGTCTTACTTGGCTTTATCTAGGTCACTCTCTGTCGAGGTCCGTTCCTGTTCGAGGTTTAGTTTTTGCTGTGAGAGCTCTTCCCTCAGACTTTCTACAGTCTTATCACATTTAAGCTGAAGGTTCTGAATTTTCTCATCCTTTTCTGCCAGTCTCCGACACATACTATCATACTCTACAACAGTTAAAGTATTCAGTTACACTTCAATTTCAGCCAGAAAATTGTATCCAATTTATAGGAAGAAATTAAAGGTGCTTAAAGCAGTAAACCTTGGTAAAATGCCCCTTTGTCTTGTTTCATACTCTCAATAGTTTCATCTCGAGCTGATAGCTGTGCTTTGGCTGTTTCCAACTCCAATGTAACAACATGAAGCTGTTCTTTTAATTCCTCACACTCCCTCTGATATTTCTGTAAGTCAGCCTGTTATTTAAAGAAAATAATCTGCTGTAACCATATGTTACTCCTACACAGCTGTTTCAAATTTTCTGTCCACAGGTTAGATACATACAGTACTAACATTCAACAGAATTACTTTACTTTTATTATAGTGTATTTATCAATTATATGTATTCTTATGCCCTGTTCACACGGAGAGTTTAATTCGCAGTAAATTAATGCGAAGTAAAATGATGCGAATTAAACTAATGCAAATTAAATTGCGTTCACACGACAGCTAATGCGAAGTAAACTAATGCAAATTATAATTTTATTTCTACAGCAAGGCTATTCAGTGAGGCTATTATGACGTCATTTACAAATCACGTCATATTGTGCCCAGCAAATATACATTTGACATAATGTCAGTGTCTGTACACATTTTAGTGTTAACATAATTTTCCTTTGTTTTCCACTCAAAAATAGCACAAGTACCTATATTTGACCATCAACATGTGGCCTGTGACTTAATTCTGCCCTTACGCATGTGTCAAAATTTAATTTGAATTAGCTTCGCTTAGCGTTCACACGAAGCTAATGCGAAGTAATTTAATGCGCAGTAAACTAATTCGAATTAAACTCTCCGTGTGAAAAGGGCATAAAAGCAAGAAGTTCAATGATATTAGCCAGTTATAATCAATATCACAATGTAACATGCACTAGTCTAATGGGAGAAAGGGATGTGTGTCAAGTTTGAGGGGATATAAGAAAAGAAATTCAAACTAAAACTATATATTGACTATTGACAATGCAAGCTTACATACAAACTCACAAACAAGACTGGTGTCAGAATATTGTAAATTTAAGATTATTTCTGTGGTTGGTCATTTATTGCAGACATTTCATATTCAAACAGGAATGCAATCTAAAATTATCTTATTAGCTTAATATGTTTGCCTGCACTTTGTAAAGACCAATGGTCCTTAACAGTCAATGCAAGTTTTTTTTTCTTTGAGGCACTTTATGAGTTCCTTTTTTATCCATCTTTTGTAAAATAGGAGCACCAGCAATGATGCATCTTCACTTCTTCTAAAGGTCAATGATTCAAAAAATTTAATCATAATACTACATGATAATGTGAGGCCTCATAGGAGAGGATGTATATTTGAGATATTTTTCCTAATAATAATGCAACTAAGAGAAAAAGTAACTCATTAAAAGTTCACAACAAAATTGCAAAACATTTCAAAGCCCTAATGTGGTAAAGTAAATTACAATGTACATATTTATTAGCAGCCAAAATTAAAATTTGGAAATAAAATTGAGGATGCCTTAAATATTCAGTATGCAAAAGTTTAAAAGCTACAGACCTACAGTACTCCTTAAATGCACATGATTAAATATTAACACAATACTGATATCAAGCCTAAAAATTGAACTGTAATGAATTATTTTCCATTCATATGCCCAACAAAGCAAGGAGCATAATCAATATTGTGCATGTTTATATCAAAGCATTCATTACAATTAAGTAATTAGAAGTGCCCATTAAGTGTTCATCACAAACATCCGTCACCACCACATCAGAAATCCTGTGTACAGTGCATTATAAAAGCTAAAGTCAAACAATTTGACAGCCACACACTTAGTTATAACACATAAAGACAAACTTTGAGCTGCGCTGTAGCCTGTTTTTCAACATTTAGACTATTGAGGACTTTCTCATTTTCTGAGGATAATAAATCCAGTCTCTGGTTGGTTGACTTCAGTTCCTCCTTATCATTCCTGGAGGAAAATTTCTTTTCCTCCTCTAACTGAAATCCCAACATCAACTTAATCAATATCCTCTACATATCATTATTTCCCCAGATTTATGCTTACAAGTACATGTATATGTATTGCAATTGTGAAAAATTATCTAAATTCTTTTTAAGATGCCTAGATCATCATATTTATAACCCAACATACATGTGCATATGATACTAAAACCACAAGAAATTCAAGAAAATGATGATAATTTTTTCATTGTCTTAATTCAATATATGAAATTTTTGCATTTATACTTTTTCACATATCACACAAAGAATTGTCATGTTATAACTCTAATATTCCAATTACTTCTTATAAATATTTGTTGAATGCTATTAATGACTTTCATTTTACACTCCTTTGACTTTATCTAATACGTATCATTAGATATTCTGATTTCCCTGGTTTTTACCTTATGTATGACATCAGACACTTCCTTCCTATATTTCTCATTGTGTGTTTTCTCCCATATCTTTTCTCTCTCCTCAGTTTCCCTCTGCCTTTGGATTTTACTTCTCTCCCTAGCCAGCAACTGATTCATTTCTCTCAAGGAGCTAGCCTCCTTAATCTAAAATAAAACCATGTATGCATATCATTTGGTTGATACAGGAGTTTTTTTTTTTATTTATATAATTTTTGAAACAGTTGAACAATAAATCATGAACTATCATTTCAGTACTTTGCTGCAAAAAGTGAATTCAAAATTTCAAGAAAGAATAAATGGTTTGAAGTAGTCATGCATATGACATTGGCATTAACTTGTAAGTCTGCTATGGTTTTCTCAAGTTAAGCATGGTTGTTTTCTACTTTCAACATATGCAAAATCAATGCAAGTGTGGGTGTTTATATTAAAGTTACTTTAACATAAGCATTCTAATATCCATTTCTAGAAATTATGATTGTCGTCATATGACGTCATAGTATTATATTATGTATTGTATTAAATTGCAAGGCTCATACAACTTAAATTCCACTTACTGTCAAAGAACTAAATAAATAAGCTATAACACATCTTAAGGTTGAACTAATATGTTGATTGTTTTTTTTTATTTATACATAATTTTATTCACATGAAGTGAATGGGATTAGGCAGCAGGCATAGCCTATTTTAGCCCTCTCCCTACAGCAAGGTCAAGGTAAATACACTGCATAACATTAATTAAACAAACATTTAAAAAATACGAGGAAAAAAACGGGAAAAAAAAATACAATGAAGTACCGGTTTGGAAAAATTGACAAAAGTTATATATACATTTACATGACAGTGTTCAAGTAAAACGTTTTGTTGCTGCTATATATGCATGTACTGCTTCAAAAATTTGTATATTAATATTGAGTCCATGATCAGGACTACCATATAATAATAATTTAAGTTCAGAAACCTGATTACAGTCTGTAATATTTTGAATTCTTTGAAAAAGTATATCTCTATAAGATGTATATTTTGAACAAGCGAAAAAGTAATGATAAGCATCTTCAACAGAATCAATACAGTGTTCACACATTGGTGTTTCTGATAAACATTGGCTATATAAGTCTGTCTCTAAATTACTTGCATTGTTCCTTTACTGACAATGTATTATATTGTATTTTCTTATTCCAATATGAAATAGTTCATTACTTTTTTTTACAAAAATAAGAATTCAAAAGACTTTTGAATGATGATATTCCAGAAGCATTTCTAATAAGATCTGGCAAGTTATTCCATAGTTTAACTGTTGATGGAAGGAAACTGAATTTCCATGTATGATGTAGTTCTAATATGAGGAATTTTAAATTGTGCATCACTGGTTCTAAGATTATAGGAATGATTTGATGGGCGATAAGGCTCAATCAAATCATGCAAATATTGAGGTGAATAGCCATTTATAATTTTATAAAACAATATCAATTTATGAACCTTCCTTCTTGTTTGTAAAAGATCCCACCCTAATTCATCATACAGTTTTGAACGAGAGGAGTTACATCTTAACCCAGTGATAATTCTACCTGCTTCAACTTGAATATCTTCTAAAAGTTTTGAGTCTTTTTCAGAGCAATTGTCCCAAACAACATCGGAATATTCTAAAACAGGTCTAATAAATGCAAAATATATCTTAACAAGTGTTTTCCGCCTAACCTTATACTTGAGCATTCTGAGGATATTTAGTCTTTTTGTAGCTTTTTCATGAATTGATTGTATATGCAATGTCCATGTAGCATCTCTTTGAAAGTGTAGACCTAAATGGGTATGAGATATATTCTGAATTATGTTTGGACCATGTTCCCCAAATTTGATAGGGGGATATACCATGTTTTTCCGACTAAAGTCCACGTTAACAGTTTTGTTTGGATTAAAATCAACTAGCCATTTTTTGACCATTTATCAATAAGTTCGAGATCACTAGTAAGGGATTGTGTTACATTTGTGGCTCCATTGTCCACAATGGCATATAAGGAAGTATCATCAGCAAAAAGTCGTATATTATTAACTAAATCATCACAAATATCATTTATGTACAAAAGGAAGAGAAATGGTCCCAGAACGGAACCTTGAGGAACACCAGCATTTACTGTTTCATGGTTTGATGAAAAACCATCAATTACAACTTTTTGTTGTCTATCACACAAATAATTTTCAATCCAACCTAATATGTTACCACTAATACCGTAATTTTTCAGTTTAGATAAAATAAAATATGTTGATTGTGGTAAATATGGCAAATTTTCCTTTTCAAGGAAATAAATTTTTGCCTTCAGATTTAGTGAAGGGTCAGATATAATATTTACTGACCTTATTGGCCAGTTCCCTGGTCAAACGGGCAATGTCTTCACGATTACACTGATTCTCACCGCTCAGTAACTCAACACGCCTCTGTAGAAATTCTGCCTCCATGTTCTGACGACTTAACAAATACATAATGTTCCTCAGTTATATATTTCAAATTATAAAATACATGTACCTGTATATTCCAAAATCATCAACTATAAACTTTTAGCAATGTATTCACTAAGAAAACACAAACTATGTACTAGGTACCAAAACCTAGTATAACTTAGTGTCTGGTAATTCGATGCTGTAATTCATTCTCTAACACAGTGCAGTTCCTTAGAATCTACTTACAACAGCTTGTCTTGTAGCATATCCAACTCTCCATTCTTAGCATCCAGTAGAGTTCTAACAGAATCAAGCTCCCCAGCCATCTGTCAAAAGCAGTGAATATTTAAAACCTAGCAGACATTCAACATTTTAATTTCAAATATAAACTCTGAGGTAATTGATTTCTAAATAAAAAAAAATTGCTCCTTTAATTACTAATGATTAATAATAAATCATTATTTATAGATTATTTCTGAATCAGTGACCTTCCTAAGTTCTGGTGGAATATCACTATAGTGAGTCTGGAAGTTGTTGTGTTGGCGCTGTGCGTCCACCTCAAACGTCTGTACTATCTCCTGGAGCTTGTTCTCCAGTTTTACCACATCCTCCTCATTCTGTGTCTTCTCCTGAATAAGGGCATCATGTTCCTCAGCTATCTCCTGTACAGACAAAAGGAACGCAGATCTTACACCACAAATCACAGTCCTAATAGTACTGTCAATCACTTTTTATTCACATTAACTAATTTTTGCAAAATTATGTGAGACAATTTGCTCAAGAAAATTTCATTCTCAGGTATATTTGTATTATTTAAGATTATATACACAAATAACCAAATTTGTGAAAATGTGCTTAATATATAAATAAAGTTTCATGAAATTTTGTGATGTGCAGTTCTAAATGGTCTGCTTGACATAAACACTGTGTGGATGAAATGGTTCCTAACAATGAAAGGTTAGATAAGGTAAGAGAATTGATAACTGGATCACTGTTTACCTCCCTTCATAACTTACCTCAAGATGTTGTTCCAGCTCTCCCTTTTGAGCTGACATGTGTAGGAGCTTGGCCTGTTCTGAGCTCAGCTCTTGTTGAAGCCTTTGAGCCTCTGACTGAGCATCAATCACATTCTGTGTTAATTCCTCACTAGCTTTGGCTGCCTCCTGTAAATTAAGACAGTTTTATTGTAAGAACTGAAGTTAGGAGTTTCTTTTATTAATGCCCATACACAAGTAAGAATACTGACTAGAAGCTGTTCCTGGAGCTTATCTCTTTCCTCCTCCAGCTGTTTGATTTGGAGCTCAAGCCCTGACCTTTCACTGGACCCAGACTGACTACTAGTTCTGGTCATCTCCTCTTGAAGCACCTCACACCTGCTTTTTTCTCTGTTGACTTCTGCCTGCAGTGTCTTATTCTACAATTCAGAAACATTTACAGTAAAACCTTGTTATCTTGAACTGAACAGGACCTTTGAGATATTATCCAAGGATTCAAGATTGGTTAAAAACATAAAGAAAAAGTGGTTGGATCCATTGAACTGCCAAATCACTTTGACATATCCAGGATAGTCAAGATATTGGTGTTTGAGATAAAAATGTTCAACTGTATATTCCTACTGGGTATTCTGTCTGCTATCTATATCTCACCTGAGTCTGGAGTAGTGTGACTTCCTTAGACATGGACTCTAGCATTTCCTTCAATGAGCTTGAGTGAGATTGTGAGTCTGACTCAGTTCCTCCTAATGTGTCCAGCATCAAGGTTTTTTGCTCCAACTGATCCTTTAGACTCTGCACCTGGACAATGCCAAATTTTTTGATTAAATTTTAAGAACTTATAGAATTTCTCTTTTGTGGGAAAAGTTTATCTAAATTCATTGGAATTTAGGTACATTTTCACCTTTCTATGCATTTAAGAAATCTTTAAGCATTTTTTTTACCTACTTGTATTTGGAGTTTTAACTATAATTAATTATTATTATTATTAATCATTATTACAAGTTTTCTGTATAGACTATTTTATCCTATAATACCTGAGCCTGTAAGTTAGCCATGGATGCCTGTTCACTGTACATGGCATGGCGTGTGTGTTGTAACTCACTCTCCAGTGTTTGTAATTCGTGTGATGACCGCTTTAACTGGACATCTTTTTGCTGTAGTTCTTCTTGTAAGGACTGAACAAACTGCAGTTATAAAATAAACAACTGTCTGGGTGAAAAGTTACCTTTTGAAACCTTTATGTATCTGAACAAGTCAGAGAATCTACCTACATCTTACATCACACTTTTGTAAATACCTTGTTATCTGCTAGGTCTCCAGCCTTGCCCTCTTTCTGACTTGTTTTCAACACATTGAGCTCCTTTTGACAATTTGCTAGATCAGTATCACTACGTTTCTTTTCATCACTTAGAAAATTATTCTTCTCTTTCAGAATTCTTATATCTGCCTGTAGGTTTTGATTCTGGAAGAAAAAGCAAGCAGTTCATACGTGTTTATGTGTTAAGCATGGTTAACATTAGAAACAATTGAACATAACTGGTTGATGTAAGCTACAGTAAAGGATTTCCATATTTATTATCCTACAAATTACAAATAAGTTTCTGTCTACCTCTGAAGTGAGTTTTTCAATCTTCTGCTGTCTGCGCTCGATGGCATCTGTATTGTTAAGGCGACTGTGAGCAAGATCTGCCTCTGTCTGGACATCCTCTAACGCCTTCTCTTTGGCCTCCAACTGAACTCGCAGAGTCTTCAACTCACCCTCTAAAACTTGATTATTTGTCTGCAGGTGGTGAATTTTGTTTTCTAGATTTGTTATCTCTATATTCAGTGCATCTATCTGACCTAAAATGTGAACATATGAAAAACAATTTGTTATTCCCAGCAAATTTATTCAAATCTTTAATTTATTGGATAATACTGATTACTACAGTGAAGTACTGTGACTCATCAACTCTACTCCTTTACACAGTGGATATATCTCATAGGACATCATATTCTCACTTCCTATGTAGCTTGTAACAGGAGATTTGATGATTTGTGAGCCGGATGTAAATTTCTGTATACCCAACGTGAGCCAGGGTAAATAACTTGACGTCACAATGCATAGTTTCTCAATCACAAAAAGCAAATAACATGACATCACGATGCATTGTAGCACGTAGTAAATCTTATAAACCATTTGAAACAGCATTGATTGGACTTACAAAGAATTTATTTGGTTACATAGGAAATAAATTCATTATCTAGGTCCAATCATGGCCTGAGGCCAAAGGGTGTATGGAATACAACCCGGGGGTAAATCCCCCATACACCCTTGATTGAATTTACCGTAGATAACTAAAATCATTTCCTATCTACCTTGTAAAACAAGATTTGATTGGTTTGCAAGCCAGGTGTAAATTTCCGTACACCCGGCTTCAGCTCTCAGCCTCAGGGTGTATGGAATAAATCCTGGGGTAAATCCCCATACACCCTTGATTGAACCTGGATAAATAATATTCAAGGTTGTGATGTCACAATGGTTTTTGTGTGAAATTGACCAAGTTAAATATTCTGGATTTACACATATAAAACAGTACGTGTTAAAACATGTGATTAGCAATGTATAGCTGTATTAAAAGAAATTTCAAATTTAGTATTAGCTGTGGATCTGAAGCACACTGCAACCTACTGATCTGTAGCTACCACTTAACAAGTTATTGGAAAAGGCAAAATTTTGCTCCACTTAATCCTTACTTTTGAAAAATCTTGAAAAGCATATAACTATGCTTAATTTGCAAGTGTGAACACATTACACTGTAAAGAAATAGAACCAATGGCCTCTCTTCTAGCTCTTCTTCCCATATTACATCACATTCTCATTGCACAAAACTGTCCAGATATAACCAATCTCTCCTTTCCACAGAAATTGTTAAGGTGCCATATTTGCAATTTGCATGTACCACTTAAGCATTGAATTCTTATATTTGGATGTCGTCGGTCCTATAACACACCTGGCCCTGCTGACAAATTGAATACTGCGCGTTAGCGCAGTATGATAACTTGTCGGCATGACCAGGTGTGTTATAGGACCGGCGACATCCAAAAATAAGAATTCAATGCTTATATTTACTTTCTCTAATTTTCTCTCTTCATAATTGTTTAATCTTTATTAATTTAGAACCTTTCAGAACTGGTGTGCTTAATAGACGTAAGAACTGTTTGTGACGTTGGAAAGTTAAATAACGCAAATGAACATTGCGGAAAAAAAAAAAGACAAATTAATTTTAAATGCGCAGTTGTTGTATTTTACATTAATTTAACAGGGTAGTTGTTTTTTTATTAAACTGAGTCAAAACAATATACATTTTGGTGATCCTAGATATTGAAAATGCATACAGTTCCTACTTTTTATTCTACCGCGCGGTGACAAGGTTTCTTGTGTGTTATAGAGATTTGAACATCGTAGATTTCTAATGGATTTCATAAAGAAAATTATGCTGAATGTAAATATAACTCTTTGTATGCATAATGAGACACTTTTTTTAGTGTCTGAGATTACTTACTGTCTCTGCCATTACTGTTGTGGGATCCTACAGACCCCGCAACATTAGCTTTTAAAATCTCATTTTCTCCTCTGAGAGCCTCCAGCAGGTCTTCTGTTGTTTTCAGACGGGCAAAAGAATCATGTCTCTCCTTCACTAGTGTGTTCAGTTGTCTGAAATATGTACATCCCTCTTAAGAGACATATATATACATTAAATTCCCAAAACCAACAGGACATAGGTCCTATACTAACTCATTATATGATGTTTAATGCTGACACAGGTCTTATACTAACTCTTTGTATGTTGTTTTATACTGATACAGGTCTTATACTAACTCTTCGTATGTTGTTCTATGCTGACACGGGTCTTATACTAACTCTTTGTATGTTGTTTTAAGCTGATACAGGTCTTATACTAACTCTGTATGTTGTTTTACACTGATACAGGTCTTATACTAACTCTTTGTATGTTGTTTTAAGCTCACACTGTTCTTAAAAATACTAACTCTTTGTATGTTGTTCTATGCTGACACAGGTCTTATACTAACTCTTTGTATGTTGTTTTATACTGATACAGGTCTTATACTAACTCTTTGTATGTTGTTCTATGCTGACACGGGTCTTATACTAACTCTTTGTACGTTGTTTTAAGCTGATACAGGTCTTATACTTACTCTTTGTATGTTGTTTCAAATGTGGCCAGTTGTGTCTGAGAGTCCCGCAAATCCTCTTCAACTTGTTGAAGCCTGGTCTCGTAATGACTCTTCAGGTCTCGGAGTTGCTGCAATGGAGTGTGAAATATTGACATGACAGCAAAAAATATATTAATAACCAATATATAGAAAATTCTTTATTTGGTAATCATTAAACCTAAAAGGAAAAAGTAAGGATTTCTTGTAATGGATATGGATCCATTTTAAAGATATAATAATTGATTTATAATTAATGTACCTCTGAATTTAATAAAATGAGACAGAGCAAATTAAAAAAAAAGTAAATACATTTTTACATAAAAACATCGTCATCATATATTTAATTTCCACTGATAATTTTGAATTTACAATATTTGAATTATGATGCACTAACATGACAATTTTGTGAAATTAAATTTCCCTTTATTCTAATTACATGTCACCTGAAATACTTTTCAAAATTGAATGAGACTATATTACATTAATGATTTTATATGGAACATGTTGAAATCTACACACTGAAACACATAAATTGTACTTTGATTACATACATCAAAACTCCATAAGCATGCACTGTTAACTACACCATAAAAGAAATAATACCACTAAAAGCAGGAATTACATGCTAAGTAAACTACATGTACACATATACATACAACCACTGCTAGCACACTATAATGCAGTAAGTACTTATATGGCATGCTGGGGAGGGATACACACTATGTAGAAATTATAAATCCTGTAGGAGGAAAAAGAAGACTCATTTTATTTGGAGCTCTCTCCTTTACCATAACAAAGTGAATTCCAGCTATTTGTAAAGTATAAGATAGGAAGCAGCAGTAAAGAACTATATATGACAAGTGTCTCCAATGACTCCTTCAAATGAATACAAATGTATCTAAATTCTACTTTATAAATAGGTTCACTCTGTACAGCTATACATTAAGTGACGTTGAATAGAAATTTTCAATTTGATCAATTTAGAAATATATGACACCTTTTCACCTTTTCCTGCCATTTTAGAATATTTTGTATAAAATTGCTTATTTTCACCAAAGATGTATCTATCCAAGACTAATTACAGACAGAAAAATTTTGCTTGTTCAAGGTTGCGCTCTATGTTTCCCACAGGATAAATGTCAAGAAAAAGCACAATTATTTTGTATTTTGATTGGATTGCAAAAGTAGCATCATTTCTTCATAAATGAGACAAGTGTACTGAAAATATGAAACAAAATGAAAAAAATAATTATACTAAATGAGTCACATTCTTTAATGTTGATTTTGGGAGGACCAAATTTGACTCATCATGTATAGTCCTTTGGAAGAAAAAAAAAGATTGTTCAAATAAACTCCTATGTCACCTGCTTTAATGCATCATTAAAGATGTAAATAAATCCAGGAGTGCTCAACTACTTATTTGCTATTAGTTTTATATCATGCATTTGCCTGCAAAGGAAAGGAAAACAAGATGTGTTTGTGAAACACTGATGCCCCCGTATGGCAGCTTATGACGAAGGTTAAAGTTTCTCAAATGCAAGTCAAACTCCAGGTCAAGAAATCAAAAATGTTGGTACCCAAAGAAAAGTCTTGTCTCGAGAAATATACCTGTGAAATATGAAAGCCCTAATACAAACCGTTGAAAAGTTATGGCGAAGGTTAAAGTTTTTTCAAAATAAGTAAAAAGGCAAGGTCAAAGTCAAATGGTGCCCAAGGGAAGGTCTTGTCACATGTGCTACACATGATCGTGAAATGTAAAAGCCCTAGAACCAAAAGTTCAAATGTTATGGCCAAGGTTTAAATTTTTCAAAAGTAGGTCAAACTCCAAGGTCAAGGACAATGCCAAAATTGTTGGTATCCAAAGGAAGGTCTTGTCACAAGAAATGCATATGTGAAGTATGAAAGACGGTGCCTAACACCAACTGTTCAAAAGTTATGGCCAAGGTTAAAGTTTTTCAGAAGTAGGTCAAACTCCATAGTCAAGGTCAAAGTTTTAAAATGGTTGGTATCTAAAGGAAGGTCTTCTCACAAGGAATGCATATGTGTAGTATGAAAACCCTAGCTCTAACTGTTCAAAAGTTATGGCCAAGGTTAAAATTTTTCAAAATTGAAGTAGGTCAAACTCCAAGGTCAAGGTCAAAAGGTCAAAGTTGTTGGTATCCAAAGAAAGGTACTGTCACAAGGAATACACATATGAAGTATGAAAGACCTAGCACAAATTGTTCAAAAGTTATGACCAAGGTTAAAGTTTTTTCAACAGTACGTCAAACTCAAGGTCAAGGTCAAAGGGTCAAAGATGTTGGTACCCATAGGAAGGTCTTGTCACAAGGAAAACACATGTGGAGTTTGAAAGCCTAAGTTCTAACCATTCAAAAGTTATGGCCAAGGTTAAAGTCTCATAAAAGTTTGCAAAAGTGGGTCAAACTCCAAGGTCAAGGTCAAAAGGTCAAATATGATGGTACCAAAAGAAAGGTCTTGTCACAAGGAATACACATGTGAAATATGAAAGCCATAGCTCCAACCAATCAAAAGTTATGGGCAAAGTTAAAGTTTTTGTGGACAAACAGACAGACAGACAGACAGCTAGACAGACGGACGAACAGGGCAAAAACTATATGCCCCCGAATCTTCGATTACGGGGGCATAAAAAAACACCCATGGATAGAATGACTTCAATTGAATGGCAATTATCATATTAAAATGTGACAAGTGAACAAAAATTTGATTCCCCAACCCTAAAAGCTAAATTGAATAATGAAATTGAAATTATCAGAAATATTTATGTATCATTTTATTCATGCATGTTTAATCCAGATTCGTGACTAGAGATTTCAGTCTGTCTACGACTTTACTATTCTTGTATACTGATCCCGATGTATTTTCATAGTACTGTATTTAAAAGTGTGGTAACTGTATGTTATACAGTTTTGAAGTACAGTGTCCTGAGCTCATAAACATGATATATATGATAGTTATCAAAACTCTGCCTCTCAAAATTCAAAAGTCAAGTTTTAAATTAACTGTTTGAAGTATTTTTACAAAGGAGGGCAAAGGTCAAGGTCAAGTGGATTGTCATGCTAGTATTTTTTCATAATATATTATTATAATAACAAACAGTCCGCATACTAAAGAACACAGACTTTCCTCTAAAATGTCAAAAATAAGCTGTATTGTGAAAAGTAGGTCAAAGGTTAATAGTGCCAATTTTAAGCTATATATGTGCAAAATATTACATCCATATCTCATACAGTTCTTGAGATATAAAGTGTGACAGAATGGACATACAGACAAACAGACTCCAGGATAAAGTGATCCATAAGTGTCACTCTGCTTTGCAGGTGACACAAAAATTACGAAGAGTTGTTAAATATAGTGCGAATTAGTATTAAGTAAAAGTTAATTCTACCACTGTCAAGTTACTGGTATATAAAATAATATAAGAAAAAGGGCACACTTGTGTATTTCACCTTCAAACCAGCAGTTAAATCATTGTCTGGGAGTTTTAAATCTTGAAGAATGAATTGTAAATGCCGGAATTGCTGATAGGTTGTCTCCCTTGTACTCCAGAGGTGACATATGACCTCTTTTTCCTGACCAATGGTAAGGCCAGACTGTTGCTCCACTTGCCCCATGACATACTTATAATCTGGTGTCTGATTGGTGCAAAAAAATTACTCAAAAATACATGCACAGACTGTGCAAAAGGTATAATTAAAATTACAATTATCAATTCAACATTCCCTTAAGTTACTCATTTATTGCCTTCAGATCAAGATCTGGTGGCTGTGGCAAGGTTACCTTTACATTTCTACAACTTTTTTAAATGTAATTTTTTTTTATCAGAAAGGAAAATCAAAATTAACACCAAAATGGTAAATTCAAACCTTATTCTGAGAAAAACATCATATAAGCAAAGTTTTAAAGGACTTATTGCATGTTTCTAAATTATTTGAAATTAAAAGCGTATTACGTTCCTTATTACCACAATTTATAAATTCTGTGTTTTTACTGTGGATAAATCGCGGTAATTAACCAATTATTGACTCAAATGAAAACCCCTGAATTAAAAATCTAAGTTAGTTAGATAGCGATCACGTGACCCTGTGACGTCAAAGGCGACAATGGCTGATCAGCTCTTCATTAATCTTACTAAAATATACGCGATACAACCTGAATTTTCTGCATTGTGGACGACCAAATCACATATATGTTAGAATTGTAAGCAAGAAAAAATCTGAAAAATCTGTTAACATTGTAAAAATAGCAGTGACGATAGCGAGGGAGACGCATGTGCAGCGAAGACGAAGAAACTCGCCATAACAATGCAATTTGATTTGTCATCTTATCACATGTATTAACTTATTTGATTCACAAATTAAACATTATATAACTTTGTTATTCTTCGTTTTGTATATAATATTAATTTATGCAAGTCTTCATATGTTATTTAAAGGATGGCGATCTTAAAAAATAATTTCCCGATCACAAAACCTTGCCGTAATTAGAGCTACAGGTTCTAAGTGTTTTGAATAAAAATGAAAATATCTTAAAAGCCTTATACCTTAGAACTAATTAATGTTTCTATAATAATTGAAAATCATATAAGGAATTAATTTTTTCAGCATTTTTCGTAATTTAGCTGCATTTGTCATTGATAACTCCGTTAATAGTGTGCATATTCTCATCTCTCTATCACCGAATTGTCGCCTATGACGTCAGAGCAGTATTTCGCCAAAATCCGACTGAAATATGCATATTGCCGTATTTGAATTTCAACTCTTAATATCTCTTAAAATATGCTTTCAACAACGATTATTGTATTCAGCATTTTGATAAATAAGGTTATAGATAATATTTTTCATAAAATTATGATTTTTGAAAGATCATGCGATAAGTCCTTTAAGGCATGTTTATTTGATCATTATTGAAGACAAACACCCCAAATACATATTTTTCATCTAAATCCTAGTACATAATCCAAAATAGACTGTTTTGTGAGCAATTTTTTTTGTTTTATTTGAAAGAGAACATGCAATTTAAACTTATTAAGTAACTGGCTTGTAATTTAATCATATTACATGGAATAATACCCAAATACTTTTTTTTTGTTTCATTATGAAATCGTATTAGCTTTGAGCAGAGTAACATCTAAAATCAATTTATTCTAGATTGGTACCTTAAAAACATTCATAACACAAAAAGAATATTCCCCTTCCCAGATCTTTGAATAAGTATTGAACTCATATGATATTGAACTACCTCTTGAAATCTTGACATTTTAATGTTTATAAATTTATTATCTGACAGGTCAAATGGTGATATCTCTAAAACTACATATTTAAAAAAAATAAAATGATTGACTTTTGACAACAAATAGACACTTCCGCCAGTGGATATACAAGTTGAGCAAACCTTTTTATTTTCGTATCGTTGATTACTGTGTAAACTGTAAGGAATGTCATACTCTTCACTTTTAGCTGAGGTCAGAGTTGACTCGTCAAAAGGGAGAGCCAATCGGAGTTTCTCGACCTCTTCCCTACTGTCTTTGACTTTGTTCTCTAAGTTCCGGTTTTTGTCTTTTTCTCGTTGCAGTTGTCTGTTAAGTCCTTTTTCCACAGCCTGAATACAAACAGAAGAGTCATATACTCACAATCTTTTTGGATCTCTTGCTATTTGTATTTTGACAAATCAATATTGACATATCAATAAAGAAAGAGCAACATCTAGGTTTGATCAAATTGATATAGGCACAGAATACAAAATAAGATGCCCATGGGCCACAATGCTCACCTGAGTAACTAATAATTTTGAAGATTTTTCCTATGTATTCCTATGTAAAATTTTGATCACCAATAATGGCCTCACCTACCCAAGGGGGTCATAATTTGGACACTTCCTGAGGATGCTTCCATATAAATATGACAAATTATGACTTTGCTGAAAAGAAGAATTTTAAAGATTTTTTTTTATTTTAACCCATTTATAACTTCTTCTATAGTGGCCCCACCATATGCCCTTGGGTCAGGATTTAAAAAAAAAACTTGCATCTACATTACCTATAAATGCTTTCATATAAAAATGCCTGTTCATGGCTTTACTATTCTTGAGAAGAAGATTTTTTAAAGTTTTTCCTATTCATACCCATGTAAAACTTTGACTGCTCATAGTGGCCCCATCCTACAACCAGGGGTCATGATTTGGACAAATTTGAATCAACACTACTTGAGGATGCTTCCAACTAAATATGACTAATCATAATATTGCTGTAATATTGAGAAGAAGAATTTTAAAGATTTTCCCTATGTATTCCTATTTAAAACTTTGATCGCCCATAGTGAAACCATCCTACCCCAGGGGTCATGATTTGAACAAACTTGAATCTACACTACTTGTGAATGGTTCCATATAAAAATGACTAATCATGACTTTGCATTTCTTGTGAAGAAGAATTTTAAATATTTTTCTCATATATTTCTACATAAAACTTTGATCGCTCATAATGGCCCCACCCTACCTCGGGAGTTGTGACTTGGACAAGTTGAATCTATACTACTTGAGAATGCTTTCAACTTAATATGACAAATCATGACCTTGCTGTTATTGAGAAGAAGAATTTTATAGATTTTTCCTAAGTATTCCTATGTAAAACTTTGATCGCCCATAGTGGCCTATCCCTACCCCTGGGGTCATGATTTGAACAAACTTGAATCTACACTATATCACAAAGCCTCACGTAAGTTTCATCTTTTCTGGTCCAGTAGTTCTTGAGAAGAAGATTTTAAATACCCACCCAATTTTCACTATTTATTAATTATCTCCCCTTAGAAGAGAGTATGGCTCTTCATCTGATTCCCTTTTACCCAAGGATACTCTGTGCTAAGTTTGGTTGAAATTGGTCCAGTGGTTCTGTAGAAAAAAATGAAAATGTGAAAAGTTTACGACAATGACAAACAATGGACAAATTTCAATCAGAAAAGCTCACCTGAGCCTTTGGCTCAAGTGAGCCAAAGAATTCTACAATAAGGATTACAATGAAAATTCAACCATAAATTAACCACCTTTACTGACATTCAAGAAGAAAGAAATGATCAGAGAGAAAGGTTTATCAAAATTTAAACTGTGGTTCTTGTTAGAGATACAGTACGCTGCTTCAAACCAGATTTCAAACCAAATTTCAAAATGTTTTGTATACGTATGTATGAACTTACCTGTAGTCTGGCATTCTCTGTCAATAGTTTGTCCTCTACTTCAGACAGATTGTTAGCTCTGTCTGCCCGCTCCTGATGGAGCCGCTCCTCTGTGATTTTCAGACGTTTCTCCAAAGACTTGATCTAGTGCAAAAAGGTCAGAGAAGCAGGAGAGGAGGTAGAAAGTAAACGTACAGATCAACAGCAGAAGATTGAGGAAGCCAAAGTTTATTGGAAAGGATTAGTGCAAGAAATGGTGCAAAAAAAAGAGAAAGAAAATCACATTTTAGTAAAATATTTACATAATAACTTGATGTTAAATCAAATACATTTCAAAAAGTATGCATCTTATTTCTATACTAAAAATCTCATTCAAAATATGAATATGATTTCACCTTAAAGTTTAGTTCAATACAAATATATTAATGACCGAAGAGATATTTGAAGTCCATTCTCTTTTTACAATACAAAAATTGATTAACAAGATAGAGAATCACAAGAAAGTTACATGTGTATTGAAATGAAAACATTACACAAAGCTCACTTCTCATTGAAATTCAACATATCTTTTTAAATTTCAAAACAAGAAAGAAAAAAATCATGCTTGACATAATATATATCAATTTCAGCTTGACTGAATCAGCTCACATTCTTAATACATCATCAGATTTTAAACCTATAAACCATTGTAAAATAACTGGTTACACAAAACAACTGGTTATACTTGAAATTTTCATCTGCTTCATTCCTTAAGATATTAATTACACCAAGAACCAGCCTGACACTTCTCCACTCCCCCAGTCAATAATATATGTTTATTGACTGGGTTTGAGGCCGGGCAATATGTGTTTTGTTGGACCCAAGAACCAAACATATTGCCTGAGGATGTTAGGCCAAAGGGAAACAGTTTGGTTCAAGGGGTCGACAAAACACATTTTGCCCAAGAACTCAGTCAATAAATGTTTTGTTATATCTTTTAATTTTTATTTTGACATATCTTGCACTGACTTCCATGTTTGCAATAATTGATGAGATATAGCTGTTCCCGCCTATAGTGTAATGTAAAAAACGTCATAGCGGTCCAATATCTCATCGACAGGTCCAATATTTCACTCAATGGCCCAACATTGATTTTTTTTGACTGCTCAGTAAAACATTGGAATTGTTAGACATTTTTAATATAGATTTATTTAGGAAACAATTTTATAAGGGATAACAATGTTAATATTGGTCAACTCAAACCTATTTATTTCACAGTTCAACCCCCTCATCCCCCATCCCCCACACACAAACACTTTACAGGGTTGGAAATTACTGCCTGCCCAACTCCGAGGCAGTCCGTTTCTCAGGTGGGCAGGAACTAAACTTCTAATGAAAGTCTGGTGGTCGGGATAATTTAAACAGCTAGTTCATGTTTTCTATTGTTTTTTGCAATCAAATATTGTATAGTAAGTCAATAGGTATCACTGAGAATTAGTAAAATATAGTACTAAATTTGAATAAAGTTTTATTTATAGATCTCGTACATTTATAGTAGTGAACATTTTCATCAGGTCTGGCAGATTTTGAGCAGGGCTGGTAACTTTTAGGAGTAGCCAGCCCTGTGGCCAGCTGCCATTTTCAGTGAATTTCTAACCCTGCACTTTATGAATCTATTTCAATCACTACCTGTGTTGTGGTGTGCACCTCTCCTTCCTTGTCAGTTTAAGTCAATACTAACCTTTATATCATACTTTGTTCCACCCCCTCCCTTGTCAGTCTACATCAGTACTAACCTGTTTATCAGACACTGTTCCACCCCCTCCCTTGTTAGTCTATATCAGTACTAACCTGTTTATCAGACACTGTTCCACCCCTCCCTTGTCGGTCTATATCAGTACTAACCTGTTTATCAGACACTGTTCCATCCCCTCCCTTGTCAGTCTACATCAGTACTAACCTGTTTATCAGACACTGTTCCGCCCCCTCCCTTGTCAATCTGCTGTTGGAGGAGATTCTTCATTTCCGTCAGACGTAACATTTGCTGACTCAGCTCTTTACTCCTGACTTCCTCTTCATGAAGATGATTTTCACTTTGTTCCAGAAGGGCCTTAACTCTTCCAACTTCCTCCTAAAAAAAAGGAAAAATAAAGATGTCCCATAGTTTTGAAAAAATAGACTTCATTAAGATGCTTCAAGAGGCTTATTGTAGGTCAATTTAAAGAGAAAAAAAAAGGGTAAAGAGGATTTACAAGGGACTGCAGTTGGAGAGAATTTTTTGTACCAATTAAAGTTTTATCCTGGTGTAAGAAAAATTTGCTACTAACATTTTTTATTATTAAAAAAAAACTAAAATAAATAAATGAATAGATAAAAGGAAAAGGAAACCTTTTTTCCATTAAAAACAGTAATTTATTGAGCTAATGACTACCACAGTTATGATATATAATTACCCCATTCTCTCTACCCTTTATCCAAGGTACTCTATCAGTGAAGTGCAAGTAAAACTTGTCCAAGGGCAAAAAAATATACGCCAGAGAAAGATTTTACATACAGGAAAACATTTCCTTTGACCTTGACCTTTGTCCTAGAAACTTGGCTTAGAGACAATGCACACCTTAACCCGTGGGCACTCTTGAGGTGAAGTCTAAGCCAGTTTGGGTTAAGGGGAGATAAATGTGTTCTGGATAAGAATTTTACACAGAGACCTGTTTTGACCTTTATTTTTCACACAAATACTCAGATTAAAGGCATACACGCTTAACCCATGCAGACTTTTAAATGGCATGAGTTAAAATTGAAGAAAAAAAATTACCAAACAATATTATAAAATAAGCCCTGAACTAAAAACATTATAACCTGGATTACTCACTTTTAGGGTCAAGACTTCCATCTTATAAGCCTGCAGCGTTTTAGTTTTTTCTGCACTTAGTTGAACCTGGTTTGATGCTTTCTCTGCGGCTTCCAAATGCTTCTCAAATTTTGCCACCTGAAAGAGAAAGAAGTCCATCTTATTATAGTTATACCTTGTCTCTTTCTAATAAACATGTCTTTGTACCATCACATTTATTCTTAACTAGTGACAGAGCCAGCTTTATTACCTCTCCCTTAAGTTCCATATTTTCTTGGTACAGACCCTCAATCTGTGACTGTAAGTGGACGTATTCTTCTGACATCTCCAGCTTAGCTTTCCTATCAGCCTCTGTCTGTTGCTGCTGAAGTGTTATACGGACATTCTTTACCTCCTCCCTATAGTTTACAAGTTCACTTTCAAGACTGTCCACTGTTGCTGTAATGTATAGTATTGAATGATTAAGATAATTGATAGCCCTGCTTTTAGATTTTGATTTGAATACTCTTAAGTCTATTAGTTATTCTACTATGGTTATCGCAAAGATCAAAGAGATGCTGCAAACATTATTTTTTAATAAATCACAAACATCATCAACATATTATCAATAAATTTTAATTGGTATCCTCTAATTTTGACTGTATTCACTAGGAAAAGGATAGAGGTATCTTTTGATTGTGATGCAAATTGGTGGGAAAAAAATAACTTTGGGTTTGGTATACATCATACCTGGTACTTTTTCTAAAGCTTGAGATACAAATGAACAAGGAGTAGCATTCTATTGTGACATCATGAGACACGTCTAATGATGTCCAAATCTAGCTTCTGCATTTCTCTATAGAGAAGTTTAAACATTCAACTTAGCAGAATAGAAATATAATTTCCTCGCATTGTAATTGTTTGAGAATATATCCCTATATATCCTATACTGTCATTACCTTGTGCTCTGTTGAGCTTCAGATGTAACCTCTTACAATCTACATACTGTCTTTACCTTGTGCTCTGTTGAGCTTCAGATGTAACCTCTTACAATCTACATACTGTCTTTACCTTGTGCTCTGTTGAGTTTCAGATGTAACCTCTTACAATCTACATACTGTCATTACCTTGTGCTCTGTTGAGTTTCAGATGTAACCTCTTACAATCTACATACTGTCGTTACCTTGTGCTCTGTTGAGCTTCAGATGTAACCTCTTACAATCTACATACTGTCTTTACCTTGTGCTCTGTTGAGTTTCAGATGTAACCTCTTACAATCTACATACTGTCTTTACCTTGTGCTCTGTTGAGCTTCAGATGTAACCTCTTACAATCTACATACTGTCTTTACCTTGTGCTCTGTTGAGCTTCAGATGTAACCTCTTACAATCTACATACTGTCGTTACCTTGTGCTCTGTTGAGTTTCAGATGTAACCTCTTACAATCTACATACTGTCTTTACCTTGTGCTCTGTTGAGTTTCAGATGTAACCTCTTACAATCTACATACTGTCGTTACCTTGTGCTCTGTTGAGTTTCAGATGTAACCTCTTAAAATCTACATACTGTCATTACCTTGTGCTCTGTTGAGTTTCAGATGTAACCTCTTACAATCTACATACTGTCGTTACCTTGTGCTCTGTTGAGTTTCAGATGTAACCTCTTACAATCTACATACTGTCGTTACCTTGTGCTCTGTTGAGTTTCAGATGTAACCTCTTACAATCTACATACTGTCGTTACCTTGTGCTCTGTTGAGTTTCAGATGTAACCTCTTACAATCTACATACTGTCGTTACCTTGTGCTCTGTTGAGTTTCAGATGTAACCTCTTACAATCTACATACTGTCGTTACCTTGTGCTCTGTTGAGTTTCAGATGTAACCTCTTACAATCTACATACTGTCATTACCTTGTGCTCTGTTGAGTTTCAGATGTAACCTCTTACAATCTACATACTGTCTTTACCTTGTGCTCTGTTGAGTTTCAGATGTAACCTCCTACAATCTACATACTGTCTTTACCTTGTGCTCTGTTGAGTTTCAGATGTAACCTCTTACAAACTACATACTGTCTTTACCTTGTGCTCTGTTGAGTTTCAGATGTAACCTCTTACAATCTACATACTGTCTTTACCTTGTGCTCTGTTGAGTTTCAGATGTAACCTCTTACAATCTACATACTGTTGTTACCTTGTGCTCTGTTGAGTTTCAGATGTAACCTCTTACAATCTACATACTGTCGTTACCTTGTGCTCTGTTGAGTCCAGATGTAACCTCTTACAAATAACATACTGTCGTTACCTTGTGCTCTGTTGAGCCTCTCTTTGAGGACTTTGTTCTCCGTGTGAAGTGTGGAGACCTCCATTTGTAACTTTCGAGTCTGAGTCTCCAAGACTTCCTGTGTTAATAAATCAGGTGATATTAGCAGTGTTCTTACAAAAGTACACTACCATTAAACCAGAAGTCTCTGATGAGACTGTAGCTCTACTGGTCTGTATGTATAACAAAGGAAAAGTAGCACTTGGATTTGAAACTTTGCAACATGCAACAATAAATAGAATTATGTATCTTAATGTAGTCTTCTTCTGTGCCAAGTTATATTGAAATCTAACAAAAACTGTTGGAGGAGTATCGTTTTGAAAGTATTTCACAGAAATTTCTATTTTTAGTAACCATGACAACATCATTCACTGAAATCAAAAACCGAAATACATAACTAAATATGTATCATAGTGTATTCTAATTGTGTGCCAAATTAGATTGAAATCAGACCAAAACTGTAGGAGGAGTAATGTTTTAAAGGAATTTCACAGAAATTTCTATTTTTAGTGACCATGGCAACACCGTTCATTGAAATCAAAAACTGATGCATTAAATTATGTATCTTAGTGTAGTTTACTCCTATGCCAAGTTATATTAAAATCAGACCAAAACTGTAGGAGGAGTAACGTTTTAAAGTAATTTCACAGAAATTCCTATTTTTAGTAACCATGGCAACATTGTTCATCGAAATCAAAAACCGATGCACTAAGTTATGTATCTTAGTGTAGTCTACTTGTGTGCCAAGTTATATTGAAATCAGACAAAAACTGTAGGAGGAGTAGCGTTTTAAAGAAATTTTACAGAAATTTCTATTTTTAGTAACCATGGCAACACCGTTCATCGAAATCAAAAACCGATGCACTAAATTATGTATCTTAGTGTAGTTTACTTGTGTGCCAAGTTATACTGAAATCAGACCAAAATTGTAGGAGGAGTAGCGTTTTAAAAGAACTTCACAGAAATTTCTATTTTTAGTAACCATGGCAACACCATTCTTCGAAATCAAAAACCGATGCACTAAATTTTGTATCTTAGTGTAGTCTACTTGTGTGCCAAGTAATATTGAAATCAGACCAAAACTGTAGGAGGAGTAGTGTTTAAAAGGAATTTCACATAAATTTCTATTTTTAGTAACCATGGCAACACCGTTCATCGAAATCAAAAACCGATGCAACAAATTATGTATCTTAGTGTAGTCTACTTAGGTGCCATGTTATACTGAAATCAGACCAAAATTGTAGGAGGAGTAGGGTTTTAAAGAATTTCACAGAAATTTCTATTTTTAGTAACCATGGCAACACCGTTCGTCGAAATCAAAAACCGATGCACTAAACTATGTATCTTAGTGTAGTCTACTTGTGTGCCAAGTAATATTGAAATCAGACCAAAACTGTAGGAGGAGTAGCATTTTGAAAAATTGTTTACAGACAGACGGACAGCTAGACAGATGGACGGACGACGGACACCTTACTATCGCATAAGCTGTTCTGGTCTCTGACCAGTAGAGCTAAAAATTAATTAGAACTTATGTGTAAAATGAACTTCGACAAACCAGTTTAAGGGGATTTCTGTGTATTAGAATATAGATTACCAGAGAAAATGAAGAATTGATATACTCAGACCTTTTCCATGAGCCAGCTGCGGGCCTCTGGGGTCATACTCCTAGGGCTCACAGAAGGGAGACTTCGCTTCCTAGGAGACTAAAAGAAAGCATTAATAATATTAATATACAGGTTTTTTCTTTTACAGCTTTTTGACAATCAGCAATTTGACAACAAATTTACTGTATGGAGGAAATGATGCAAAAATGTTCCTTTCTCATGAAGTAAATTGATTTGATTACCATACTGAGTAAGATATATTCACATTTTATTTTATTTTAAATTCTTAACAATTCAATATATTCAAAAGATGTAATTCAATTTAATAACATAATAAATGTGAACTGGACATTCAAAATAAAATAAAAAAGTAAATTTTTGAAATATTTTTTTTTTATCCTTGTGTAGATGCAGGAGAATGTGTCAGGTATATCTGATTAACAAAGGATCTTAACATAGAGGTAACAGGGTTCAAAGGTCTTTGCTGACAATACCAGTTTTAAAGTTACCATAAGACAGTTTTTTCTCCTATTAAAACAGATATGGCCAAAAACATGTACCTGGTGTCTGACCAATGAACAATTTCTAATTTTGAAATCATTAACTAGTAAGCAACCTTTCTAAGAACTGTGCTATAGCATGGGGCTTTAATAAAAGGACTTTTAATTAATTCAAAGACTACCAATAAAGACCAAAACTTTTGATCCAAATAAATTAATTGATCCAACAGAACAAATCTAGCATAATTGACTGAGATAAGAGGAATGTATAGAAATTTTAACAAAATCAAAGTGAAATTAAAAAAAAAAACACAGCACAACATACATGTGTCAATCATTGGATTCATTTCTACTATACTTATTGGGGTCACTGTGCAGTTACTATGGAGATCAGGTGTCATGTGATAGAAGCACACAGCACAGCTTGTACCTTACCCCGGATTTGAACTTTGGTGGTGGTTTAATTGAGTATATCAAGACATTGTCTTTATTGGACTTTTTAAGGGTGACATATTTTTGAACCTGAAACACACAGTAATGAAGTCAAAGTTGATGCATAAAGAATACTAAAATCTGCAAGATAGTACATGTAACAACACGCCTCCAAAAAAAAAAAAACAAAAAAAAAAAACTACCCAGTGTTCTTCCTCCTAGTGTTAGAATGTATACAGGAGTAAAAATAATTTCATATATAATTTGATATTTCATCTAAGAGTCCACCTAATTTTCACAATTAAGTGATAAATTAAATTCATGTACAGTGTATATGTATATTATTAAATGTACTTGAAATATACAGCAACTTAATTTACAAAGAAATGAAAACACACACACACACAAAATAATTCGGGCAAAAGAGTAAAAAAAAAAAGGATTCATAACACTGTATAAACAATAATGAAAAGGGCTATTTGATATCAGAATTAACAATAGACAATGTTATCATAAAATATGCAGTGCAATGAATGGGAAACAAAAGATGTCATGCATAGAAACACAAAATAAACATCATGCAGTGCAACAAATAAAAAACTTAAAAGTTCTGCTTAAACATGTCACACTGAGAAAAACATGTGCCATTTAATAGGAAAGAAGAACAGAAGTTATATATTATATATGTACATGTTCTTCTCTGGCATCTCAGCAGGGTAACCCAATACTCAAATACCTGTAGGAAATCACCAGTGAAATAGTCATCCCCTGATGTACTGGAGAATGTATAGAGAAGCTGCCGAAGAGTCTTATATTCACAGTCTGCACTGCTTAAGGACTGCCTCACAAACTCAGGGTTCCTGCTGTACAACAACTTAAGGAAGTCTAGTATAGAAGTCACCCTTCTTGGTGGAAGGTGCAGAAGTTCCTCTGACTCTTCCTGGACATCATTCCCATCATCAGATAGAGCTTGGAAGCTGGGATTATGTGTAATCTGTATGCTGTCTATGTGAGGGAAGGAGGCAACAGATGAGGCACACTCCCTTGAGTCACTTATGTAAGATCCGAGGTTGTCAAGGTACAGTGGGCTATCTTTGAATCTGACATCTTTGCTTAGGATTGAATTTGGATACCTCAACCCATATATCTCAGCACCAGGTTCTGCATTAATTTCTTTTGCAGAAAATTCAGACTTTAAACCATTAGATGGACCAAAACCTACATTTGGCACAGTGAGCCTTTCTTTACTTGGTTGTGGACTGAAGTTGTACAATTGTATATTGCTTCCCATTTCATATATTCTGTCATCCTGATTTGACAATGACTGCAAATTCTTTGAGGCATAGTCCTCTTGATCATAAAAGGAGATGAGCTCTTCTTCATAGTCATCCAGAAGACTGCTGGATCCTCCAGAGGATCTAGAATTATCATGTCTAGTGTCTGTGTAGGAGGTGTACCCTGAGCTAGCCGGAGCTAACATGTCTAACTCCTCCATACTAGTTCCACTAGTATATGACTGGCTGAAGACAGAGCTTGGATTGAGAACATCAATAACATCATCCACATCCTCTGTTTCCTCTCTCCCTGTAGCACTGGTAAAGCAGAATCTTCTGGAATCGCTTTTGTGCTGGTAAATATTTTCTTTGCTTTTCTTCATTAATTCCTTCTTGCCTGTGAAATGGGCAGTGATGTCATTCTCTGTGTGGACACTGGTATCTACCCCACTTTCATATCCTTTATCAATAGAATCATTGCGACTGTGTCGTCTAATTGTTCCTGATGTTACCTTTTCCCTAATTTCTTTTTCAATCTTTCTTTTCAACACTTCAGAGGGTAATGATGGATCCACATGTCTTTGTCCCTGTGGTCTACTTAAAGACATTTTCCCACTAGGTACCTTTTTGTTTTGAAGTTTTCCATTATCATCTCCCTGCATTTGTTGAATCCTCAGAATGTTTTTTGGAGTTGACTTTTCCAAGTCTATGATACCAGCACTGTGCAGAGAAATAAGTGTCTGAAGATCCCCTTCTAATAAGTTGCCCTTCTTCAACGATTGTAATATAACTGCAGACAGCAAACTTTGTTTCTCAAGCAGAGTGGATTGCTCATCAAGTTTTTGCTGTAGCATTGTTTTAATTGCCTCTATTTCTGTGTTTACAGCGGGAAGTTTTTTGGTGTTTGCCATGTCGATATTTGTATCAATTTTCTCTTCTTCTTGATTTTGTGTCTCCTCTGATGAAGTGCCATGACTTTCAGAGTCTTGTGTAACAGATTTATTCATTACTTCAGCAGATGATCCTTTCTTTTCCAGATCCAGTGACTTGTTTTCACTGTGCATTCCACTATCTGAACTAGCTTCACTAGCCTCTACCTCTGTATCTGAATGAATTCTAAGACTCTCCAGAACTAACACCGGAGAATTAAAATCCACCTCTCCATATCCCTCTTTCTGAATTTCCCCCAAAGATCTTCTTCTGTTTTTGTCCCGAACTGGTCTCTTTTCAAGAGAAGAAGCTGAGAGGATTCTCTCTGGCTGCTTAGAGTCAGGCCATTTCTCTTGATTTTCTGACATCAGAAGCAGTTTTGAAGGTGCAGTAAAACTTATCTCTCCATAACCCACAGATTTATCTATGCCTTTCAGATGCTGCTTTTGTTCAGTTTTCTTTAACAAACTAGGAGGAGATGTATATGATTGTGATTCTTGGTTCTCCTTGCTACTGAGCTGTCCTTTTTCAATCATTTTCTCCTCTTTCTCTATGACTACTCTTTCTCCTTTCCCTTGTTTTACATCTGACAAGGACTTGCACTGTCTCCGTAAAGAGGACTCCAAAGCCAGTTTAGAAGGCGTCATCTTGTGATGCCTCCTGAAATCTACATCTGATTTCCTCTGTCTAGTCAAAACAATATTAGCCTCATCTTCATCTTCTTCTGGAATGATGAGCTTTGAGAGACTGGAGAAGCTGAAGGCACCATAACCCGGTGTTCTATGGCTGTACTCTGCTATTTCTTTCTCATTGTGACTCCTTTTGTCTAACAAATCCTTGTCATTATGGACACCACTTGACAAACCCACAGTGTCTGACACTGACTTTCTCTCTAGATAATCTATCTCAGATCTATTCTGCTCCCAATTTTCATTTAGACTGAGTGAAAAATGGGGAGTTTTCAACTCTGCTGCAGCTTTCTGTTTCAGCATATGTTTAAGCAAATCTCCTGGCACAGACCTTGCTTTCAAACTGTCTCTGCGAGAGTATGTTGACTTTAACTGTTTCTTTGTGGGATTCAGAAGGCAAGCATCACTTCTTTCAAACCTTGTTCCAGTGTCACTGTAATAATTTTGAACTGCCAATTTGTAAACCATTTTCCTTGTCTTAGGATCCTGCCATTCAGTACATGATGGATCAATGTACTTTTTCAGTGCACTGGGAACTTCATATGGTATTTCATATGAATTTTCTTGATCTGGCCTCTTGATTTCCATCAAATTCTGCTCCTTTTTCTTAACAGAATCTTTATCCAGCACTTCTGCTATAATATTATCTTCTTGGATTTCCATCTCCTCAGAGTAAGATTTCTGTTCAAAAGTTTCTGGTAATAGACTAGCTTTCACAACAGATGCTGAAGAAGTTCCCAGTTGCAAGTATGTATAATCATCTGTTTCATAGTTTAAGGTATCTGTTTTTTTAGCGACCTCAGTGTGGGCAGTGTCACTTACTTCTAGTTCTGTAGGTGCTACAGAACTCTTAACATCAGATTCAGTGTCCTGTTTTTCAGATTTATTCAATTCTTGATAAGGGGTTGCTATAGATATTGAAGATTCATCTATTCCATCACTTTCACTCTTTATAGATTCCATTTCCTTTGTTTCCTTTTCTTTCTCTCCTATAAAAATTGCAGTTTCTGCAGCCTCTGATGAAATTTCTGAAAGACTTTCAATAGTTTTTGTTTCTTTATCTGTTTCAGCATCAAGTGCTTCACTTGCAATTGATGCTGCTTCTGCTATATTTTCTGATGTAATTTCAAAATTACTTGCAGGTTCATCTGTCATGGGAACTGATGTTTCACCTGCACTTTCATCTGTCATGGGAACTAAAGTCTCTCCTCCAGGTTCATCTGTCATGGTAACTGATGTTTCTCCTTCAGTCTTTAACACTTCTACAGTACCTGCTGTCAGAATTTCTGAAACACTTTCTTTATTTTCTGTTTCTGGCTGCATCATTGACTTCAGCACTTCACTTCCTTTCTGTGACAGCGTTGCTTCAGCTGCTGTTTCCTCGGGTGTTGCTTCAGCTGCTGTTTCCTCTGGTGTTGCTTCAGCTGCTGTTTCCTCCAGTGTTGCTTCAGCTGCTCTTTCCTCTGGTGTTGCTTCAGCTGCTGTTGACTCTGGTGTTGCTTCAGCTGCCATTGACTCTGGTGTTGCTTCAGCTGCTGTTGACTCTAGTGTTGCTTCAGCTGCTGTTGACTCTGGTGTTGAACTTTCTACAACACCTTCCTTATCACTATTTCCTGCTTCTGCAGCTGTTTTGGGTTCAGGTATTTCACTGTCAATCTTTGACACATCAGCAGGTTTCTCTGGAACACTTTCTGTACTTTTGTTATCTGACTTGAGATCAGAGGTTTCACTGGCTGCCTGTGACTTTTGTACAGTCTTACTATCACTGGACAGTTTACCTTCCTCAGTGGATAATTTACTTGGTGGAGGTGCTGCTGGTTTTTTCCTGACTGAGTCAACCTCAGACCCAGTGTCTTCAATGTTGATAATGGAAGATTTCAGTAACAATTTCCACAAGGAAGACCCAGCAGCTGGAAAAGTCTCCTTTTTCAAAGCTGTCCATTTGCTGGCTTTGGCAAGTTTTGGCGTGACAGCTTTTGCTGCTAATACTTTCCCAGTTACTTTTGCTTCTTGGTTCTTTTTCACCTCTGTATCTACAGAATTTTGACCTAAAACACCTGTTGTGCCTCTATCAGCTTTCCCTTTCATTCCTTGCTGGCTACCTAGTTTACTCTCTAACTCTTTAGACTGTTTTATATTAGTGACAACATCAGACCCTCCTGACTTGGAACTTTTTGAACCCTCACGGTCAAGTGACATTCCTTTTGGTTTGTTGATCCCTCCCTCCTCCAGTGTGTCCCGAATTTTATCCTTTTCTTGAGGAGATTTATTTGTCCGTATTGGTGTTGAGGTCATTACGGGAGATAACCCTGCAGTAGAAGACTGAGGGGTAGCAGTCTGAAGGCTTCCTGCTATAATTGACTCACTTGTATCAAGACCAGTTTGTCTGAACTCTTCCCTTTGTTGTTCTTTATCCTTTTTTGACTCACTAAAACCTGCTTTGGTTCCTTTGTTATTTTCTGAAGAGTGCTAGCATTGAGAAGATTGTAAGTGCAGTGAGTAAAAGCCAACAACATGGTGCACAGTGTCAAAAGCAAGCATAAGAAATTTAATTATCAATGAATTTCTTCTTTCTTACATCAATGTAATTTCTGATTGAGACACATAGAAATCTAACCATTTGTGCATAAAATCTAATTAGTTTATATAGAAGTATTTGATGTATTGAACAATTTGAAAATGAGACAACATACAGATGACATTTCCGAGACATCTGGTGCTGATCCAGTGGTAGGCAGGCTCTCAGTCCGGTTCTTACTGATGTAACCTGAATCCTCATCATCTGAAATTAACCAGCAGTACTTTAACACTACAAGAACTACACCTCTCCATGCTAATACATCTAATAAACAGATAACAATATATACCCAAACAAATAGATGGATTAAATATTGTTAATGCCTAATAATGAATATAAAATTATTCTGTGTAAAGCTTCTCTACAAATTAAAATTGAAAGTATTTGAGATAGTTTGATAAACCAGATAAACTGGTTTTGGTTTCTTACAAACTTTGGTTTTAGCCCAAGTTAACATTTTAGATAAGTAAGTCAAACTTCTAGGTCAAGGTATGAAGTCAAAAATGTTAGTTCTTTCTGAAAGGTGTTGTCAAAGGAGAGTACATGTAAAATATGAAAGCCAATTCATTACCAATGTTATAAGTACTGTAGGTTAAACTTTAAGATCAAGGTCATGAAGTCAAAAATCATAGCACATTTGGAAAGGTCTTGTAACAGGTAATGCACATATCAAATTTTGAAAAGAAGGTCAAACTTTAAGGTCAAGGTGTCATAAATCTAAATATACAATGTTTTTGAAAAAGTCTTGTCACAGGTAATGCACAAGTCAAATATGAATGCCCTATGTTTTCTCATTCTAAAGTAATCAGCAATGTTTAAATTTTTCAAAAGTCAAGTCAAGGGTCAAAAATCATAATATATTTGAGAAAAGTCTTGTCACAGGTAATGCACAAGTCAAATATAAGTGCCCTACCTTCTCTCATTCAAAACTTCTCACAAATGTTAAAATTTCTGAAAAATAAGTCAAACTTCAAGGTTAAGGTCTTGGGATCAAATATCATAGTATATCTGGAAAAGTTTTGTCATAGCACATGTCAAGTATGAACTCATTATCTTCTGTCATTCAAAAGTTATCACCAAATCTAAAATTTTTGAAAAGTAGGTCAAACTTCAAGGTCAAGGTCATTGGGTGAAAATCAGTTTTCATTTAGAAAGGTCTTGTCACAGGTAATCTACATGTGCAATATTATAGCCTTATCTTTTCTCATTCAAAAGTTATCCCCAAGGTTAAAGTTTTTTGTGATTGTTAGACTGTCATATGAACGGACTGACAGACGAATGACATTTAATGGTTCTCGCTATTGCTAAAGCAAGGGGCAATTAACACCTAAAGAGTGCAAAATGTTTTTCCTGCTCAGATACACAGCTTGCTCCAACTGTCACAGCAATTTTTTATGGTGTTGTTTGTGATGTCACAATCACTTTTGCATGCCCACTGACTCTGGTGAATACAACCTCAAATATGGTGAGAACCATTTGCACTTGCATACATTATATATATATATAGGACTATATTAGAGCTTTCAAAAACATCAGAAACAGGTGGTACTTTTACAAAAATAGGAAGTACCTTGCGGAAGGTATTTTATTCAAATAATGTTATCAAATTTTTCTCCATCAAATACTGTGGCCAGTACAATCATGATTTCAGCTGAGTAAAAGTACCAGGTACCAGCAGATTTTGAAAGACCTGCTATAAATAGACAATATAATCAAGTGATTTGTTTCACACTTCTACAGAAGCTGAATATTGTTACAGTTTTAAAAGAAAGATGTACTACTTTACCTGGGGGATTCTGATCACTCATTTTTGAAGAGTAATTAGCATTCCCTAAAAAAGATAAAGAAATGATTGAAGTGACTGTTTTGAAATTTATATCTTCAATGCATAAAGGTATACATTCAACACAATCCTATCACAGCTCATTCATAAGTTTATCATGTTTTTGATTCACTTTAGGACACAACCATTCAGGTCCTAATACCATAAAGCAAGAACAGACTTAGATCAAAATTCAGATTTTGAATATCTTGATTTTTATATTACAAATGTTTCTGTATAATATTAAAAAATATGATAAAAATTTTGTTTCCTTTTTCGAAATCATTTCAAAATTATACTAATTTGAAATTTTGACTTTTAAATTTGTTTTCAGATTATGTTCTCAAACCTCTTGGGTCAGGCACTTAATCAGGACACAACCATTCAGGTCAGACAAGTAATCAAGACACAACCACTCAGGTCAGACAAGTAATCGAGACACAACCACTTAACATGCATTCAGAACACAACTACTTATACTAGAAGTGTACAAAGAATAAATTTCTAATCTGAGTGACTGTATCATGTTTACATTCCTGACTTGAGTGGTTGTGTCATTATTTCATGTTTGACCTGAGTGGCCGTGTCATTTTTACATGTCTAACCGGAGTGTATGTTTCCTGATTACATTCCTGACCTGAATGGTTTTGTCCTGGTTACATTCCTGACCTGAGTGGTTATATGCTTATTACATCTGACCTGACCATATATGTGTCCTGATTACATTCCTCATCCAAGTGTATGTGTACACTTCTACTATTAGTAGTTGTGTTCTGAATGCATGTTAAATGGTTGTGTTTTGATTACTTGTCTGACCTGAGTGGTTGTGTCTTGATTACTTGTCTGACTTGAATGGTTGTGCCTTGATTACCTGTCTGACTTAAGTGGTTGTGTCTTGATTACTTGTCTGACCTGAGTGGCTGTGTCTTGATTACTTGTCTGACCTGAGTGGTTGTGTCTTGATTGCTTGTCTGACCTGAGTGGTTGTGTCTTGATTACTTGTCTGACTCCTACCAATCAGAACACAACTTCTCTGGTCAGAAGGACACTACCACTTAGGTTGGACATGGAATCAGAAAACAACCACTCTGGTCAGACAATAATCTGGATATTATCACTCGGGTCACACAGATCTATAATAGTTTTGTAATCCCTAATTAGGCAATAGACTGGAATACATTATCAGATGATCTGGGATTAGCTCATCTTATTCTATTGCCTGAAGCTGAGTGGTTGTATCTCCATTCCCAATTTCAGTAGCATTGCAACACCATCAGGATTTTAGCTTATTTTCATAGCATTTACAACTCCAAATTATACAAGTTCATAACTTAAATAATTATTTTTTTCATTATTCCCAAAGAAAATGTAGTATCAGGTAATAGAATAGTAATCAAATGTCTAATCAGGCAATAGATCAGATTATATTTCCTCCGTACTCGGAACAGCTCATTGTGTTCTATGGCTTTCAGCCACTAACAAATAGGACAGAATGAGCTGTTGTCCTAGCACCTCAGGAAATATATACAATTATTGACTTTTGATGAGGTCTACTCATGGCTAATCGGACATGTCAGGTTCGGCCTCGGTCAACCAATACCTGACCAGGTCCATATAGCGACGAGTAGACTGAATTCAAAAGTCAATAACTGTTTTATTATTAAATAACCAGGAATTTTGCTTCTTTTTTCACACTATACTTATACACATCATAATTATATTTCAACAATTTAACAAATGTTTAACTAGGTGGAGAATAATATTATTTAAAACAATAAAATACTTACAGTTAACCATTTACTATTAAAGCTGCTTAGATTCTTCAATACTGGCGTCTGAATTATTTACATTATGTACAACAACACATGCTTTAAAACACACAATTTGATTGATTTATAAAATTGTAAGTAAATTTATGGTTGGTCAAGACGTAAAACCAGAATAAACCTCCCAGATTTTCATTTTCTGGTGAAATCACTTACTAGAGATTTATACACCGCAGATAAGAGAGTGTGGACCAATGAGAAAGCATCAAAATCCCTAATCATTTAATAATATTGTATATTATAATATAAAAGTGTGAATAAGAATAAAAAGAACTTATCCAAGGTC